CCGTCCGTGGCGACCTTGTGCGAAGGTCTAATATGGCCGTTTGTGCCGCCGTTGAGACCGCCATTCGGTCGGAACTGGGATTCTATCGCCGAGTCCATGAATCCATGTGTGAGGGTGGTACCTCATGGACAGCCGTAATGTTGTGTTGAAGATGCGACGTGCTCGAGGGCAGCGAAAGTAGAAGGCGATTGTGACGTATTGGCCGTATGACGATATCAAGAGTCTCAGGTAGCTTGACGAAAGACCTGTCTTGGGGCGCTTGCTGGACGCCGTTCTCTTAGGGTGGTGCCGCGTGGCTGTGCAGATCGACCAAGAGTGGAATGGCGGCCACTTTGGCTCCTAGGCGGGCAGAAGATGGAATGTTGACTGTATGGTTTGTTGCCGATGATGCTACCTTGGGGCGGCGATTAGTCGGCCCGTGAGATGTAACGGGTCTACGAGTGACATCTGAGGGGTGAGTTTGGCAAAGAAGAGCACAATGAGGAACGAATAATGCGACAGTCAGCGCAGCTTCGTCGCTGGAAGAAATCGAACGATCCCAGGACAGTTGAGAGTACTCTTTAGACGAGACAAAGTAATTGTTCACCAAATAATTATCTACAGCTTCCTGGGTGAGATCCATGCGGATAAAGCATGACTATAAGAAAAGCTCCTACCACCAACCTCACCCTACCTTAGTATCCGTACCTTCCTGCGGCTCGTTCTTCCCCTCATATCTGTTGGTTCGTGCAAGAAAGGAAAAACCCTTCTGAGACAGCGACTTCTGCTTAGCTAATGAACAACGGTAGCTTCCTTCCCTGAAAAGTTCCCTGGGAAATCGGGGATGGAGGAAGGTCCGGATGGAACGAAAACCGAATGAGAATAAAGTGCCACTACCATCAGATGAGAATTGACCACTTTATTCGTACTTACGAGTATCCGCAATCTTTCTTCGCCAACCTTGGATACGAGACGATTGCAAAACTGTTATCCTATACGCGGGAAACTGCTGCACCTCGCAATACCGTTTTGCAATTTTTTGAAAGCCAATCCATCCTACACGTTCTTGAAGCCCGTTCCGCACACATCTACGACTGACTCTCGGACTTTGACAACATTCACCTCAGGGTCTTAGCAAGGTGATGTTGACGTTTTATTAGCTACCTCAACCACACCAGAAGGAAGACCGGTTGCGGCGCTTAGGATGAGATCTCCATGTACACAGCATAGCATGGGGCGGCCACGGTCCCGTCTGGTGCGACAATAATAGGCCCCTCCCGCGCTATCGACACGTACGAATACATTACGGTTACACACAATACACTCCCGAATTCCAACACATCGGTGCTGATACGAAGTAGAAACCAAGCCGCGGTGGAGTTGGAGGGTTGACACCCACGACACCTTCTCGCTAGCGCATCTCGTTGAGCAGGGGGTTACGTCTTCGGCTTCCATTTCGATTCTACCTCGTCTACCCCAGTACGTCCCTGTTTGCGGCTGGCAGGCTTCTCGGTACTTGTAAAGTGCATTGCAACGACAACGCAGCCAGATCCAATACCTCTGGTTTCAAAAGCTCAACCCAACGTACAAGTAATGTCCGCAAAGGCTCGCAGTCGCCAACGCCCTGCCAAGTTGGCAGTTTCAGTTGTGGCGGCCAGTTGTTCATTCTTGACATCGACCACGGGCAGCGCAATGGCACTTTGAAGGGCATTTTTGCCGTCAACGGTGCGGTGTCAGCGCTCTGCTACGACCTGTCTACAAATAATAGAGAGACGCATCTATGCGGAGACGTTGGGGCGCTTGGGATCGTCGCCCCGGAGGAAGGGGTCTCGGAGGCAACAGACAAGATCCGGGCGGAGCCAACCACCTCAATATCCAAGTTGAACCTCTGGAGTCAGTGACTCAGTGTCAGCCCTTCCGATCTCACTGTGTCGTGGACAAAGATGAGCTTTCAAACAGTCGACGTCCCCCAAGTTGCTCTAGACTGCACAACCACACATGCTAGCTGCATCGGCTGTCCTGCACAACGGCCTTGGTTGGGGACAAGACTGCAGAATACGAGTGGCGATCAGCCAGTGGGACGCCGGGAACAGCGACAGCTGTGCTTCGTACGGATACTCCGTACGGAGTAGTGTACACATCATGGAACTCAGCAAGTGGTGTCGAGACCCTCACGAAAGAAAAAATGCCGGCGGTTGGGAGACACCCACGGACTCACCCAGACGCTTCCCGTCAGGCCGATAGGTACCCATTTCCACTCCTGAGTCTTGTCTCGCTACGCAGAAAGTGCATGTTGCAGATGGTGGTCTCGTAAAGTTGTGCTAACAAGGAGCCAAGGGGAGGATAAGAGGGGCTGGCCCTGTTTGGCGGCGAAGTTTACTGCACAATAAGGTGGTCTTGGCCCCATAACTTTCACGCCGCATTTTATGGAGAGCATCGAGACAGTTCCAGTGTTTTGCAACCTCGTAATCAACAAGGGGTCTGGTCATCCGACCTGCAAAGTCGCACTCGAGTGGGAATTCGACTGGTTTGTTCTCGAATACGGAGCGATACGGTCTAGAGTCTCGATACTCGATGACTCCATGTGTCCGTATCTACGAATGGGCGCCACAGCTTCGAAGGAATAGCTGACAGGCAAAATAGACACGGATTTATCGTCGTCGTCAGTGTGTCTAGCATATCGTGGAGATACGAACGAGCACAGGAATGTCTAGCTGACGCCGCTGACTGGATAGAATGCCTACCTGAGCATGGGCAGCTTGCACAAGACCCCCAGAGGTCGGGGCTGGAATTGAGCCAGGCAAGCCTCAGAGGATTGCCGTGGGATCTAAGTACCTTGTTATCGAAGAAAGTAAATTCTTTGTGAGTCGCAAGTACAAGAACACAGTTTTAATAAAACAGTGTAGTGCCCACCCAGCACTTGAATTGATATGCTTTTTCAAGCTCGCCATAAGAGAAAGATAACTGTAGTGCTAACTGCTTCCCATCGGGGTTCGCAACTGGTTGCCGTGGGATCAGCGAAGATATGGCGAATGGCGAAGGACGGACAGGCCGGGCCTTCCAATCTCAAACGGGTCCGGGGCTGCAAATTAACGAGCCAAAATTCGAGAGAAACCGTCACCGCAACCTCGGCAAGGCTGCAAAGGCTCGTCTCTTAACACCTTGACTATTCCCTGCCATGCCTGGTCACTTTCCAGTACTGTTCTCTGCGGATACAACACGGATACAGAGGATACAGAGCATCGGATGGAATAATCAGACCGCTCGTTTCTTGCGGCAAAGATGGGAGAAGGGCCCTGGAGTTTGGAGTTTGGATGGGTTTTCAGTGGGCTCGCGCGGTGCAAAGTTGCAGTTTGTGGAGAGGAGATTCATCTCCGGGCAACAATGGACACCCGATCTCGTTAGCGGCACAGGTAAAGAGACGCTAACAATCATTTTAGTGCCATCGGTGCTGCAGACAAAGTGCAGACTGCAGTGTTGCAGCGGCGGCGACGCAAAAAGCCAATTGCCCCGGGCCATGGAATGAATCCATGGATCCCTGCAGAGAGCGGCATGCTCCCACTGAACCCTTCCTCTGCTAAGCCTCAATATCCACCGAATAGAAACACCAGACCAAGACAGACCACGGGAGAGAGCCGCCATCAGAGTCACCCTCGAAGCAGCATCCACACACCAACCCAATCTTGCCACGGCCTGTCGAACCTGCTGTGAACAATATCGACGGTCTACGGAGTGCAGATAGAGGGCTCTTGACTTGCCTGATTCTGTGGAAAAGGCACCCTGGGGCTCCAGAGACACAACCACAGACAACCATGCCTCCCTACCATTCAAGCGGGTCAATGGCAAGGGCGGCAAGAGACAGACATGCCAGACAGGTTGCGGGCCACAGCTCAGGCTGGGTTCCCCTCACGTTATCAATATTCGCCCATCAGCAACCCATGATTTTGGGTCAGACAAAAGTGGTGACTCTTCGTTCTGGAGATGGTGGACTGTGGAGAGGCGTGCTGCCCTCGACATTGAACGCCTCGTACCATGGTGTACGGATGCATCGCAGGGAAAGGGACATTGAGAAGTGAGAAAAAACACAAAAGCCAATGATCCTCCATCCGATCCCCAAGGGCAGAGGAAGAGTTCATCCTGTGATTGGGCACCAGGGGGGGTGATGGGATGCCGATGAACAGACCCCAAACGAACCCTAGCCAATTCTTAGCTCCTTTTCTCGACCCTGGGACCTTTTCTCGAGAAACGGTATCTGTACCGCAGTACGTACGGAGTACGGAGTACGGAGCACCACACCATCTCGACAGCACAACCACCAGCAGGAAATGCGCCGGGTGGCTGGCGTGGAGAACGTGCTAAACCCAATTCTGCCTGTTTTTCTCCTCGGTCCTCTTCGACAGTCAATCGGCTCCTCTCTATAGACTCCCATGCAAATGCCTGCCTGTGGATTATCGCAAGAGAGGCCCCATGGTGTTGTACCTGGGACCCCGGGCCTCCTTTATTCTGTGCCGTACGGGATACCACGGATACTTCAGTGTGGATTTGCGAATAGAAGCTTCCCGACAAGGCCCTGGTCCGAACGAGCATACTACCACCTCGAATATGTGCTAGTCAACCTTAGTGCCCGCTTGGCAAAAGTCGTGCGTCCGGCTCGTCTGCTCCTTCTCGCCTTCCTCCCCACGACTTTGTGCTCCGGGGCTTTTTTGAATATGAACCGTCAACTTCTCTGACGACTTTCATTCCGCTTCTCTTCTCCTCTCCTCTCTCCCTTTTCCACCTTTCACCTCCTTCCTGAATCCCTCCGCGTGTGTCTGTATCGTCTTGTCTCGGTCTGTCGTTACACAGTTGAATAACGTGTCTGCACATATATTTCATCCGAACCTCTTCATCCCCCCCGAACTCTTTACATCTCAGTCGCTCCAGCATCGCCAGTTGCCTACATTATACACACGGCACAAAACAACCCGATTTTCCAGCCTCACTATCGCTGCTAGTACCCTCTCGGTCAACCCAGTCCCCTTTCGTCAGCAACGAAAGGGCTCCATTTTATTATTAGTGCGTAAGTCAAAACCGCCCATTCCTCAACGCCTCGTTCATAGCTCTCGCCCCTTCGCCCGTCCGCCCGCCCCAATCACCCTCAATTGGGCCAAAAAGCCATGTGTTGTTGGCTCGAATAGGCGTTGGACGAGTCACCCCTCTAGGCCTTGGCCTGGCTTGGGGATACTTTAGGAATGCAGCAAAAAGACTGCATATGGACGAAAAGGAGATGTCTATAAACATACACAAGACGGATTGCTGACCAGGAAACGCACTGCAGTCGATATTAATATTTGAATTTTGTCAAATCTTCTTGTAACCTTTTCTCCAACCACAAGAAAGCAACTTGCCCGTACATATACCGAAAGGGATCTTTTTCGACACCGGTTCAGCATATATACATCCCCATAAATCACAATGCCTTCGTTCAAGAGCACCGTCTTCGCCGTCGCTGCGGCCTTTGTCGCCACGGCCCAGGCCGATTACTACGTCGAGCCCTCATCCGTTCCTCTGGCCACAAGAAGTACGATTTACGCTCCCCGTGTTCCTCCAGGAATACTTACCCGGTGGTTGGTGATTTGGCCAGTATGCTAACAGAAAATCTGCAGAGGCCTGGTGCGCCGACGAGAAGAACACATGCCCCATCATCTGCCAGCAGGTCGAGCCCCGTACGACCCTGGTGAACGACTGCGACCCTGTAAGTAGCCAACGCCATCAACAGCAAAACGTCGAGGAGCCAAGCTAACCAGATCTTTCCCCCCACACAGGAAACCCTCACCTACGGCTGCATCTGCGGCGACAAGAACCAGCCCAACATGACCGAGTACTCCCTCACCCTGCCCTACCACGTCTGCCAGGAGTTCGGCAACCAGTGCGTCAAGGCCTGCGGCCTCGGCGCCAACCAGTGCGCGTCAAATTGCCGCCAGAACAACCCCTGCGGCGCCCAGAATCCCACCCGCCAGAACTCGACCTCCACCGCCGGCACGGCCACCGCCTCCGCGACGGCCTCTGAGACGAGCGGCGCCATCTACACCGGCCTCGGCGACTCTGGCTCCTCCTCTTCCGGCTCGTCGTCCGGCAGCGGCGCCGCGGCCCTGGAAATGGGACGCAGCGCTGGCTTGGCTGTCCTCGTCGGTAGCTTGATTGGCGGTGCTGCTCTCCTGCTTTAGAGTGAGCACGCTTGCCCAAACAATTACGGGGGATCAAAGAAAATAAAGAAGAGAAAAGAGATGGAAGTAGGAAGAATGGTGGAGGAAGAAGCGTCGTTTATTGCCGTGTGTTCTGTCACGTCCGCTCTTTTGAATACCCTCTTGCACAAAGTTTTTTTATCACATGCTCGGCGTTTATGGGCGAGGTGTTTTGAATCATGGGCCTCTGGATCAACCGAACAAATAATGTCTTTTTAATACTTTCGGACAGAACACACACAGGCAATGGAGCGGGGACGATCTGGGTCGGGCAGTTCTGTCTTTAGCGTTTATGCGTCATCTTTCGCGGGGAGCAGAGCAGTAGCAGAAGAAAGATTGTAAGAAAGAAAAAAGAATGGAATCAGAAGCGAAGAAGCAGTTGAGCTTCATGAACAAGAAAGCAGGTCCCCTCGTTCGTCTTGATATCTTGACTGTCATCCCATCATCCCAACTCGCTAGTGTTGTCTGGCGTCTCTGGTGTACCGGCGAACCGCCGATGAATTCATCAGGTCTTCTCTGATGGCTAAGCACGAGACCATCCGTCCCGTTCATCCCGTCTGAGGATCGTTCCCGTGATGTGGATTGTCCCAGATTGCAAGTAACATCAGATTAGTCTGCATAGACTACCATCGCTAGCAAGAGGCTCGGGATGGAGAACTGCGATGTGCGAGAGTCGTGGTAGAGGCAGCATCGGAATTTGCTGGTGTAACTGCATCGCGGGCACCAATCAGAGCCAGACAAACTCGAACACACATGTTCCGGACACCAGTAAGCGGGATGAATGACAAGCCAGACAAGTCAGATAGGTAATCAGTAAGGCGCCGTCCAGCCGGCCTGTGCCACATGCAAGCCTGATGCCGCCATACATACCGGAGCGGGGGTCACGGGGACCAGCATGCGGTAAGGTCAGCGCGAGCCAGGCCGGCCCCGATCTCGACGGCCTCAATCTGGGACTGAGCTACAGTGTGCCTGAGGCTGGTCGAGGGGAAGACGAGCAGGGTTACTCGCATGTCATCGTGCAGGAGTGTCGACCAGCCTTTTGCACAAGTAGCAAACCAACCGCCCAGTGAGATTCTTTGGGGGCCGACAACCAGACGATCTGACACCAAGCTCAGTGAACATCGGCCGGTGCAAGTTCATGTCGTGGCGGGGAAGGTTATGTGGAGGCAGGCGGGCGGGCTCGGTGTGTTAGTGAGCAGGGCCCGGTGCTACCTCGCCGATGTGCACCGTTACTCTTTCTGGGGCAGCTCCAGAATCCAGAGTCCAGACGGAACGGAGGTTGGCTCTCACATGCTAATTATCGGTCAATGCGCACATGATGTAGAGACTAAGGTAGGCAGAGTGGGTAGCATCGAGTACTTGGGTTCCAAAGTCCAGTGAGGGAACAGTGAAGTTTGCATCAGTTCGATGTTTGGAGGCGGATTTAGGGCCGTCGGAGGAGCCCCCGGATGGTGAAATCAATAATATCGATCCAATGGTGTGCAAGGAAGGCGCGGTAAAAAGGCGGTAAACGCGAGAAGAATCCCTGCGTGAGCCGGCGTTGATTGGATGTTTCTGTCTCGGGGCCTTGAGGAGCGAAGAAACGGGTGAGGAGCTTGGGGCGTTTTGGAGCTGGTGTGTTTTAATAGGGTCCTTTTTTGAAATTTTTGTTGAACGCCGAGATGGGCGGGGCCGTATGAGCGTAAGTTGGTCACAGTGGTGCGCTCGTCGCAGTCCGTCAGAGCTCCGATTTGTGCGTGTCGAAATCAGATGGGCCCATGTGATTTGCTGCAGGGGAAATATGGCGAGAGGACGTGAATGTCTCGCAATTGGGTGTGCTGTGGTATCTGGTAATAATGTGGGCGTGGATTTGATGATATAAGTGTCAAAGTGATGTAGTTGGCATTGATAAGCAGTGATGGATGATGACGGTAGAGGTGAAGTTGAATGCGTCTGGGGTACGAGAATGGAAGGAGAAGACTGAGGTGGGAAATCACGAGCTTCCTTTCCCGGTGGACTTGGGGTACGTATCCGCCGACGTGCTTCTTCCTGCTGCGGCGGTGGGCTGGAGCCGCTGGACTGACGCACGTCGACGGCCGCGTACCTACGGCAAACTGAGCCTCCCTCCTTCCGCCCCTCGCCCCGGCCGCCCCAGGCCTCTGGACAAAGTTGAGGTGCATCTGATTTGTTCCCGAAAGAGAAGCTTGTGCCTGCGGTGCGTGCCATTTGCTGCTGGTCGCAACCGCAAATCCACTTCATCTGCCTGACCCCGGCCACTTTTTCACCCCTAATAAAAAAGAATTAGAAAAAAAGAGAGACAGACAGACACCTGGACGGGAGCCAACGGCACGGCCTGCCTTATGATGCGAACTCAATAAGGTACTTCCTTACTTACCTACACACCTTCGATTCCAAGTCCAAAGTCTTCCCTCGCTGCTGCACTTGCCCTGCACGTCAACTTGCGGTAGAAGCCGAGCAATCCTCTTGTGCCTCCTCCATTTACCTTTGGCCCTCTGCTTAATACCTCCTCCATCCCCTCCTTTCCCCACGGCCGTTGTTACATCCCACTCTCCTGCCTCTGGCACTCCTCCTCAACCTTCCCCCTCCATCTCCTTCCCCCCGCCGCACCCTGAGATTCTACATCGATTTTGTGTCTCTGACGCAATTCTTCACAGCCATGGGCGCCGCAACTTCAGACAGTAAGCACGAACCCTCTTCCCCCAAAGACTGACCTCGCCATGTGCCAGGGCACCTGGATGGCCTCGGCTTCACCTTCAAAGTGCACGCATACAATTGATGGCGAGGGAGCTTGTCTAGGAGCTATGGTGGAACCTCAAACGTGGACGACAGCTAACAATTCATCCTACAGGAACGGCTGCCGCCGAATGCATCTCAGACGATGCCCTCATCCACCTCAAGTCCTACAAATACTCTGCCGTCGACAAGTCGCCCATCTCCAACTACATCCTCCGACCCTACGTGCGTAGCCCCTCCGACCATCTTTCCCCCTCCTACCCGCCGCTGCCCCGCGCCGTCCGAGCGGCCTCGACTTCAGCATTTCTCCAACATATTGCTAACCAAGCCTCATCGTAGTGGAATGCTGCCGTTGAGCTTCTGCCGCTATGGCTGGCACCGAACATGGTCACTCTGCTGGGCTTCTTCATGATCCTCGGAAACATTGGCCTCCTGGTCATTTTCATGCCTGACTTGGTTGGACCAGTAAGTCAAGCTCGAGTTCCCCTCCAAAGCCAGATCGCAGGTCTGGATAGTCCAACTAATTCACGTGTCGACAGGGCCCTTCATGGCTATACTACAGCTTCGCTTTCGGTCTCTTCATGTACCAGACGATGGACAACCTCGACGGCAAGCAAGCGCGACGCACCGGAACCTCGAGCGGACTTGGCGAGCTCTTCGACCACGGCATTGATTCCCTGAACTGCACCCTGGCCAGTCTTCTCGAGACTGCTGCCATGGGCCTTGGCACTTCCAAGTCTGGAGTCTTCACGGCTCTCGTGCCGTGCCTGCCCATGTTCTTCTCTACTTGGGAGACATATCACACCCACACTTTATACCTGGGCAGGATCAACGGTCCAACCGAAGGTATCCTGATCGCCTGCAGCGTCATGGTTGTCTCTGGAATCTACGGCCCTGGCATCTGGACCGAGCCCATCATCAACATCCTTGGCGACAAGGCCGAACAGCACCTCTATGGCTTCCACTACCTGCTGGGAGACTACTCGATTCGGGACATCTGGATTGCCATGATCGTCTTCTCGCTCTTCGCAACCCACATCCCCTTCTGCGTTCTCCACGTCATTCAAGCCCGTCGCTCGCGCGGTGAGCCCGTAGCCCCCGTTTTTCTCGAGTGGACGCCCATGACGGTGTATACCCTCGCTATTGGCGCCTGGGTCTACTCGCCTTACTCGGCCATTCGTAGCGACAACCACCTGGTGCTGTTCTGTGTCACCATGGCCTTCGTTTTTGGTCGCTTGACGACGAAGATGATTCTCGCTCACCTCACTAAGCAGCCTTTCCCTTACTGGACCGTCATGCTTGTGCCCCTTGTTGGTGGTGCCGCGCTCGCCAACCTTCCGCGTCTGGGCTTTCCGGGCATCAGTGCTCAGACTGAGCTGTACTATTTGTACGGCTACTTCGTCTTCTCGGCCGTCGTCTACTTCCGCTGGGCATACCTGGTCATCACGAGTATTTGCAACTTCCTTGGCATCAACGCTCTGACCATTCCCAAGGAGAAGCAGCTCGCGAACAAGCAAGCTATTGCTGCCGCCAAGGCGCCGCCTCTGACCAACGGTCTGATGAACGGCATGAAGAAGGATTAAGCCAGGGTTCTTTCAGCAGCTCAACTTTGCGGGTCGTTTGGCTGGTCAAAGATTTTCACCACGACAATGAGCAAGGATGCCAGGGACGAGAGACGAGGGTCAGAGTCGATGTTGAGATGGAGTGAAATGATGGATTTCGAGTAAATGAATTACAGCAAGCCTGAATGCGGCTTTGATGGAAAGGCGCGCTTTTTTGCATGGATGTCGGCGTTGCTGGAGGCTGATCCACTTTCAACATGGCATGCACTTATTACTGGCGCTTTTTGGGTGAGCAAAGCCATGGAAATCGGCATGGCTCGATTGAGTTATAGGCACTTTTCTAGTACAAGGACTTAAGTAGTCCGTTGCATAATATCAATTTCAACTTCAACTTCATCATTATGTATTGGTTTTCTCTTCGACCGGTCATGTCTAAGAGTGGTTCTGAACAGTCGAAACCTTGCTGTGATGTGGAATTCTGAGATGTACGTCTAAGACGACTCATAGCCATATCTTATGGTCAGGTAGATGCCATGGGCAGATTGTCCCTACTATGACCTCTATAGAAAGTATAGCCTCGTGATTAAAGTCAACAAGGACAAATTAGTTCAGAAAGCTAGGTTCAAGAAACAAAGAGCACTCTATTGGCCACAGTCCTGCCCGCTAGGGTACATTGAATGTAATTACATGGGGCTCTGAAAGATTTGTTCTTTGTCACAAGGACTTGCCTCGTTGGTTCGATCGGTTGTGCGGACGTGCAGGGCGAAGCACAAACCATGTCATTGTGAGACATTTGGGAAATTGACTTGAGAGACATGCTTTCGATAAGTGCAGTCTTTCACCAAGTGTAAATTAACAACGGCTCCTATAGCGTTCACGCTTTCGTAGTAGTACCGTATTAAACTGCGAATACGTTCACCACGGCCTACAACGAACGATGAGGCCCGTTAATAGGAGTCTTATGTCAATTCTTCTTTCTTATTATCGCTTTAGAGGTATCATGGAACTGCTAGAGCGAGTGAGTCGGCAATAGATGGCCACTACCTTCACTACAGCCTATCGACCACTTTCTATCGTTGCAGTCTGGCACGCTTCCGCTTCATTGATGCGGACATCTTTCCGGCACTTAGGATGTCTTTAATAGTGTAGGGCATGAGGGAGGTGAGTGTCTTCATGACTACATGTTTAAAAGGACGGTTCGTAGGCACTATCTTGATACATCAGACCGTTGATAAACGCGATACTTGATTCCGATGCGGCACTGCGGCGGCCTCAATGGAGCCAAGGTCGAACTAGGTGTTATCTCATGCTTGCTAAGTAGTAAACTTTGGGATATTCATATCGCTGATCGTCACGCTCTTCACGTCGCATCGTATTAGACTGCGAATACGTCCGTAATACAAAGTCGTGAGCGTGAATAGTAGACTTGTGTGTAGCTAGTATTGGCGTATTGAAATGTCCTAGGACTCTATAGCAGTGGCATAGCCAAGGGTGTTCATTTAACATCTCGGCTTGGACACGGTTGGCACGGATAAGGGGCTGAGATCCTCGACGGCCTGTGACGTCTTGCCGAAGGAAATTGTGAAGCTGAAGTGCGTTTTGTCATCTTCAGTGACGTTACTAACATTAGTACAAGGAAGCTAGGATGGTTCCAGCCCTCAATAACGTTTTGTTGTTCTGAACAAGCATTCAGAATAGCTGGCGGAATTTTACTCGTTCTGGAACAGTTCTTTGCCTTGAGGAAGGGTCCTTGAAAACGGCCACCTTGTTAGATATGAGACTTGGGTGTTGGTGACGACCTTTCTTCACCATGACCACCTTCTTATTCTTCTATTTATAGCTGACTCACCTTATTCTAAAAATCCGAAATATGTAGTGTGTTGTAGTGTTCCATTTTGAAGTTTATCGGATGAAATTGTTCTCTACATGATCGATTTAAGTGTTTTAAAGAAGTCATGGTCTCACATAGAGGTTCAAGGGAGTGCTTTTTAACCACTTTTGCGGAGCTAAGCTCCGTTTCTTAGTGTTGCTCGTCGAGTTGTGGTTTGCGAACTGGCTCGGCTTGATTACCCCTGCAACCTCAAGGCAGCATTGGAAGTCTAGATCGACTACTGGGTACCTAGTTACCTTAGCTGAATCACTCAACGGTACGCACCGTCCTCGTTCCATACTACTCTACAGCTCCTTCATGACTCTCCTCAATGATTTGACTCAACATTGGATTGAAGCAGGAGATGCTAAGTGTCAGATACCGTTAATTGCAAGTAGTTGTGTACCTAGGCAGGCTGGTCACTATGGTCACAGTCTCACATAAAGCTCCGTCTGTAGTCTGTTCAGTCTTTCAATGCGAACACTGGCTTGCAAGTAAAGGGACAAATTCCAACGCCCACTCGGAGATCTAAATCTTATGTTCCCTCATGCATTTCTTCTTAATCGTACTGTTGATATAACTCTCTCTTACCCCCCCCCCCTCCCCCCGGATTATTCAGTTGTCAATCAATTACGGCAGACTACGTTGAGTTGTTCAGAATACGAGGAACTGAGTATACATTTCCTGGAATTAGTCCATTTCGTTAAACCACTGGTTCGCTTGTAAATGTATCAATCTCTACAAGCTTGAAATAGATTCCCATTCTCTCAGTTGTGTCTCAGTTGTGTAGACAAGCCCAACATGTGACAAAGCGCATACAGTGATTTAGATAGCGTAGTTCCCGATCTCACCAGCCTCAAGTCGCAGGTTAATCGCGTTCTGTATGGCTAGCTGTCACTTGTTCCCATGACCTTATAACGTCCTTACTTAACGTGAGTTGCCACGTCGCTATCACAGTAAGAAATGGCGAACCTTTCTTAACGTGATATCTCAGGATGAATCCCTCACCGGCGCCTGGGGCCCATATCTCTATCATCCTCAGTAGAGGCATGCGCAGAGCAGCTCTGCCTGCCTGAAGAAGCAAGCGATCCAGGGCTAATGGGCTGGATACCAGATCTCCAATACATGTGGTTAGGGCTAGATATGCAAGGCCTGGCCAGGTACGAAGACTATTTCATAGCTCAGAAGTATTCTCTGGTATATTCCTCGACGAATGCCAGAAAAAGACTGTAGCATCAACAGCATGACATAGAGTCAAACACCGGAGACGATAGCTTGCATTGACCGCTGAAAATACAAGGTCGTCATTGCGGACCCGAAGAAAACGCGGGTTTCCATTGAGTGCAAACTGCGCTTCCCAAACATGTACTGAACTCATCGTGATAATTTGGGCCGCACGGTCGAGTAGTAGGATCATTGCCTCATCGCGGGGGAACTGTTCGTATCGAGTTATCGCGTGCCATGGCTCGTAGCTGACAGTCCTGAGACGGCAAAGACTACCAAGAACTTTCGCAAGTAATGCCTCCGACATACTTCTGTAGCAATGTTGGTTTACGAAAAGCTTTCTGACGATGGGGACCTGAGCAAGTTTGAGAGTGCCGGAGCTGCTGTTCAATAAGTTGCCGAGGAGACGTCGTTTCGACTTTGAGGAGTATGCACGTCTGCGATCATGTTGGCTCGCCTCGGCGCGATGCTCCCAGGGGTGGCCTGAATCACTCGGAGAGCTGGCGCTCAACCTTAATTTAACGCCTCCTTTAGGCGTAGCCTATGTTGAAAGAGAGATGAATAACTTTTTCGGCGCTTGGTTGAAAAGCTTGTTGTTCGTTTAGATCGTGTCTCGGATCTCTAGTTCGTCGAACTTGCTCACATTATCGTATTCTTCGAGGCAGACGTGGAGTGATATCTCCTTGACGAGATCTCTGCAATAAATGTGAACATTAGAGCTTAAATTATCGATGTCAGGGCCAGGATATCGAAGCTTCATGTGTTGGAAAATTTGCGTTTCGAAGAAGGCTCGCCATTCCCTTGAGACACTTGCCCAGTCCGACAAATCGTGTCCTTTATTTCCGATTTCAACTTGCTCCAGGATCGTCAGTCGAACCTCTGTAGGCAGGACTGCCCAGCGAAGGTGATTGTTGACATAGTCAAGCGAGTAGGTGGTTTTCGAACGGAGCTTCATTTTCCAACTGAACTGCTCAAAGTGAGTCTGGGCTGTTGAGTGCTGGGATACTGAAATTCACAAGAGGGAGCCGACGGACAAGTTTTGTTGCTGTCTAGGGCCCAGCGAGAGTTGTTCATGGCACGGGGTTGTACGAAGCGGAATTTACTCAGGGAACAGAAAACGATTTTATGGGCTCTTGCTTTGAATAGCAAATAAGGTTGCCTCTAGGTCCCTTAGCTGATCGATTTGGCCATCCTGGTCTTGCTCCTCATTACAACAGTCAGCTGAAATACTCATTGTTGTCTAACTTTTGTAAACATTCGTGGCGCAAAAGCATAATATCTATAATATGATGATATTTAAGGCCGGGCCAACAGTACGTGCGACAACAGAACCAAAGAATGAGCGCACTTACAGGAGCTGAAATTGCTGAACAAAATCCTGGTGACGTCTTTCATGCACTCATGTTATGGAAAATGTGTAAAGTATGGGTTCAAGAGGATGATGAGTAGTTTGCAACTTTGCCCCTTTTCACCAGCAGAGGAACGCTGTGATTCGAATTGCTAGCGCAAGATGGCTCACAACGAGAAAATGGGCCATGGTAAGAGGAGCGATAGTCTTGATTGGCCAGTATACGGCGTTGTTATGTCACGATTGTTTGCAGTGCCAAGGTCGAATGATTACAAAGTTTTGGCCAGTTATGGGTGCCCAAAGTTGATGAAGTGGACGGGACACTTACCTTGGCGGCACAATGACATCTTCCGAGTATGTCGTCGAACTGTGCAAAAGGCTTCAGAGAATGGTGTCGGCGAGGCCGAATATTCTTATCTGTCGACGATTCAGAAGAGGATGTATTGAAATGTTGCACTGATATTGACGTGTTACGCGACCTTCTCGAGATGAAGCCTTTTTGACAACTGTTTCACTTAGACAATGGTCTTTCCTGATAAATCTACTCACTGGAATGAATCCAGTACGTTGTGCGTCTGCAGTTTATGGTGATGTCGTACAAAAACGGAACCGTAATTGCCAGCCAGCAAGTACGCCTTATTTACCACAGGTGAGTAAGCAGCCAAAGAGACTCAATTGAAGCTATTGATCAATGGAATTAATCCTACGTTAGTCATAAACCCCTTTGACGTCCTAGATTTGCCGTCCAATTACTCTACAGCATTTTCTATACATTTGCAACAAGGGGAGTGACAGGAGTGTCTCCCGCAGTTGTAGGCTCGTAAATCTTCTTTTTGCGGAATAGCAATATGGGCTGCTACAAATTGTCTTGGTGCCAGAAGTCGTTTTAATGTATATTCTGTTTACGAACGGCGAAGAACGTGGCTCTGCACTATGATATAATCGCGACGCGTTTGCTTAAACCACAAGAAGGAATCTGTACACTGAACAACATGCTGCTGCCGATGTTCTGGCAGATAGACTAGTGGCACCTGGCTTTCTAATTATTGGTTTTCGTTCAACTCAATGCATTGACATCTGCTTACGGCAAGGGGAATTAGGGGTGACTTCTGGCGGGAAAGTGGGAAAAGAGTCAAGGAGCTTGCTGATGTCAGGATTTCTGTCACCTCTGAAGGCGGGAGGGAGGGCAAGTGACGGTACATAGGTTTCGCCCAAGGTTAAGCTGAATTGAGATGTACCTCGACCAAAGACTCCCTTCTTTCCCCTCCTTCGGAAGCGCCGATAGGGAACCCACCCATAGCGGCCTCAGCGACTGCCCACTGCATTCAGCAGAGGCAGGCATTCCCGTGGTGGACGCAAACACTGGGCACGCACTTGCCAGCGTGAGATACGCTCAGTAAAAGACAGTGCAGAAGGAGGCGACCAGACAGCCCGAGGAAAGCACCTTTGGAGCAAACCACCCGTGCCACACCCCCCAAATCTGGGCCAGAAGACCACTCGCTGCCTGCCTGCCCTTCCCGCATCGCAATCGACGACGACGACACCCGACCGTAACTCTGCGAAGGAGACCAAGCGGGAGAAAAAAAATTCATCAATCGTCACCATCAATCGCCCTCGCGAAGAATCGACCAGAAAACAATGAATGGCTATTCAATCGTCGCCAATGGCCTCCGTTACGCGCTCCACCCGGAGGACCAACACTGAAGGCCTCGTCCAGCAGCAGCTTCACCCCCATCCCCTTCACCATCCCGTCCAGGCCTTCGCCGCCGCCAACACGAACACTGTGACGCGCGCCGCTGCCACCCCCCAAAACATCTCCAGCTACCAGCACACGCTGTCTGGTCGCACCAAGCGACAGCTCGACCAGACCGATCATATTGTCGATTTTGAACACCAGAAACCCAAGCGACCACGGACGAGCATCGAAATCCTCATTCGCCCTGCTTTGTTATCGAGCAAGCCTGCTGTCGCCAACGCGACGCCCACGGCAAACGTCACGCCGACTCCGCATCCGACCACGACCACGACCGCAGTCACGAAGCCTCAGGCGGTCGCACCCCTAGCAAAGCCCACGCCGAAACCCGCACCGCAACACGTCGCGACGGTGCATCCTCCAAATCCAGCCGCTGCTGCCGCGAATAAAAATGCTGCCCAGTTGACCAAGCATCAGGAAAAGGTCATTAATGGGATTAAACACGAGTTGGATCGCCTACAGCCCCGCGAGGTCGATACCCACACAAAGGAGGGGGGCCGCAAACTGCGCTCTCAAGAGGCCACTCGCTTCAAGAGCGAGCTGTCAGCGTATTTCCCCGAGTATGACGAGGTCATCGGCAATGAACCAAAAGAACAGCGTACGCCCCCAGTCCCCTTGCAGTTGCCTTCTGCTCTCAAAGGTTGAGCAAACACATCCTTGTACACTTACTGACGACTACCTCTTCAGAGCTTTTCACCTTCGATACCCCGATAGTCATTTTTGACTCGTACCCCACACGCCACCATCCAGTCCCGTGGCACCGAAATCTAGGCGCGACGCCAGACCCCAGTGCAGGACTTGATGGCTCAGCAAACTCGACTCCTGGGCACAATGTTCCTGTGCGTGGATACGGCGATGCCCTTTTTGACGAGCTTGTCGATGCCCAGCGGATAGACTTTGATTTCTTGGGCATTTCGCAAAAGCGAGAACCCGTAGAAGATCCTCTTCCTGATGCGTCCTTTATATCTTCCCATAAGAGAGCAGAAAGGCTGGAAAAGTCCATTCGCAATACCGAACGGGGACGGGCTCAGCATGAGAAAGACCAGATTGCACGCCTCCTAGACGGTCTCCAGGGTCACGACTGGCTCCGAGTCATGGGTGTTAGTGGTATAACAGAGACGCGAAAAAAGCAATTCGAGCCAGCACGGCAGCACTTTGTCAAGGGCTGCCAAGCCATCCTCGACAAATTCCGCCAGTGGAGCTTAGAAGAGAAGCGCCGCAAGGCAGAGAAGGACCGCGCTCTCGCCGAGAAAGCAGAAGTCGAAGAGTCATCAAGCGGGGACGAGGATTCATCCGCAGACTCCGAAAACAGCGAAGACGATGTCGAAGGGGATGACGAGACTGGCGATATCAGCGACGGTGACCCCCCAGGATCTGATGATGACAATGATTCTGTGACCAAACAGATTCGTGAAGAGGCCACAGAAAGGTCAAGAGGATCGAAGAATAGCAAGAAACGTCCACGTGCGACACCACAGCCACGGCCCCCTCCAAAGCCTGAACCCCCAAGGGAATTCAAATCCTTCTTCAAGAAGAGATACGAGCGTGAGAGCGCTTTGCACCGGCACAGGCGTGCGGGACGTAAGGTGGTGGCGTGGGGACATCCGTTACCAGAGATACCCGAGATCGACTTCGATCTCCCTGAAGAGTTGCGTGATGAGGAGACACTGAGGGTACATGCGAGGAAAAGACGCCGTGATCGCCGTGGCCGAACCTGACGAGAGGTAGTCGGCTGCAGGGTTGGGCCGTGACTGTGCGATATCTGGTGTGCCGTGTCTGCTTCTTGTCTTGCATCGGGGTAGCGCGATGTCTAGTTGTAACATCATCATATGTAGACTGTTGGGTTAGCATGGCTCAAGAATAAGCGTTCGAATTGTCCCATATTGTCGATGCTGAAATAAACAATATCACCCTCCCTTTGTGAGGATTGTGATATGCCTTGGTCAGCTATTTAGGGTAATTAGCCTCAAAAAGTAAACACTTATGAATCGCGCAATAAGTCGTTGTTTCCTTCCAGAAGGAGGGAAAAAGAGATGACGATTATATGGCGGCTCTGTTTTGAAGGACCTGGTCGGATTCGGGAAGGAGCTTGGTGGCTCAAGCAACATGTGGAGCGGCACCTTGGGGAGTTGGTCTGCTTACATAACCGAGGTCGAGGTGGACGGGAGTCGTGACCCGCCCAACGGGCAGGCACCTCAGGCGCAGGAGCCAAGGTGGCTCCGGCAGCTCCATCTCAGTCGCGGCGAACCGTGGGACGCGCTGACCTTGGAAGGCCTGAACTGCACCAGCTGCTGCCGACCTCAGATTTTGTGTTTGGTCGCAGCAGAACCTCTCTCAACCTCCTACGTCTCAGCTGGTCGTACCGCCGTACCGTTGGAGAACGGCATTATTAATTTTCTGAGCTGCCGCCGGCCCTTTGCCTATTCCATTTAATTTCCTCCGGCGACCTCTAACGACCGATTTCCCACCTTTGCGACGCCGACCGCAGCGACAGGATGATCGTGGCCCTCGTTCAATCCTGCACCTGAGAATCTCGCGCCGGCGCACCTTCTTTGGATCGTATCCGCCGGACCTCAAATTCACCAAACAAACGACTCGCCGCTCGACCGAGCGACTCGAGCTTTCTGTTTGATGCCAAACTGCGACGTCATACTCTCGAGCGCAAATTGAGCCCACCATGAGCGCCATCCAGGCCGCTGCGGCCGCCCCCGCCGTTGACGAGGTCATCGGCAGCGATTCCGAAGACGATCTCCCTCCTATGAAAGACGAGCCACCCTATCCGTATTTCGTCCTGAAACAAGATGTCGAGCTCGAGATCAACTTTCGGGCGAAGCGAATCGAAGGAAAATCCCACATCACGTTTGGCATGGTCGGAAATGCCCAGCTTGACGAGTTCGCCATCGATGCGCGACAGTCCGAGATCGACGTTAAGAACATTACGGTCACCGCCCTCAAGGACCAGAACCCCCTGGGGCCACCCAAAAAGGTGTCAGCGACGTACACGGATCCGTATAAGTTACTGGATTATCCGAAATACTATGACTGGAACGCCTCGCATCACGACCTTAGGAAGATCCGGATGCGACCCCTTATGCACACTCGAAGGAGCGACGTGCCTGCCGAGAATAGAGAGCTGGTAGGCTGTACGCCCGCTGATGGTGCCTTGCGAGTCAGTCTGAGGGATCTTAAGAAGACCAAGGGAGGTGCTAAGGATGAACCGGTACCTGGAGCGGGAATTGCCAAACGGCCGACGCTCAAGATCCGCGTTTCGAGCGTGACGCCAAATTCTGCGGAGCTCCCCGAGAGCGAACTGACTAGCTCAAGGGAGTACCGTGTCACGATACCTTTCAAGACCAAGCTCGTGCGGGATGGCGTTCAGTTCGTTGGCGTTGATGCTGGAGATCTTCGATATCCGCATGCCTATACTCGACATTCCATCGAGCCAGGGACTGCTTCTTGTATCTTCCCCTGCATCGACGACCCCGGCACGCTTCCGACGTGGACGATGGCCGTCAAATGTCCGAGGACGCTAGGCGACGCACTTTGGCAACCACTGGCTACCCAACACAGGAATGGTAATGCCAATGGCAACCGCGATCGCGGGGCAAACCAGTCCAAGGCCGACAGAGACTTCGCCCTTACCGAGGAAGACAAGCTTCTGGAGATGACAGTCGTGTGCTCTGGCATTTTGTCTGACGAGATCGTCGATCCTGAAGACGAGCAGAAGAAGATTATGACTTTCGAGATGGAGAAGCGAGTTGCCGTGCAGAAAATCGGCTTCGCGGTCGGTCCATTCGAGCACGTCGACTTATTCTCAGATTTTCGCACAGAAGAGAACGACGAGAAACTCGGAGCTAGCGCGCTCAAGATTCACGGCTACTGCCTCCCGGGAAGAGCTGCAGAGGTCCAGAACACGTGTGCAGCGCTCGCCGCGGCTGCTGACTTCTTCACCCTCACATTTGCTCGATATCCATTTGACAACTACAAGATGTGCTTTCTCGATGACATGGTGGAGGATACGGTAGCACTCCAATCACTCTCCTTCGTTAGCACCCGCCTACTGTTCCCCGAGGACATCATCGACCTAGAGGTAGACGTTACAAGGCAATTGGTGTACAGCCTGGCCTCGCAGTGGAGTGGTATCAATCTTTTCCCCAATACTCGCAGAGATCTTTGGGTCGTCATCGGCATCGCCTACTATATGACCGATCTTTTCCTGAAGAAACTATGCGGCAACAACGACTACAGGTTCCGGATGAAAACAATGTCAGACAAGTTGGTGACCGTTGATATCAAGCGGCCGTCACTGCACGAACTTGGGCATCTCCTGCACATTGGAGATTTCGAGATGGAGTTCATGGCACTCAAGGCGCCCTTAGTGCTCTTCATTCTCGACAAGCGGTTGATGAAAGCACCTGCCCAGACTAATCTCACGCGCATCATTTCGCGAATTCTTTACAAGGCCAACATCGGAGATAGACAGAGCGAATGGATTATCAACACGGAGTCGTTTCAAAGGGTTTGCGAAAAGAATGCCAGGAACAAACTGGAAGCGTTCTGGAACCAATGGGTTTATGGCTCGGGCTGCCCCAGGTTCGACGTTTTTCAACGTTTCAACAAAAAGCGACTCTGCGTCGAGATGACTATAAGACAAGTCCAGGATAAAGCCTTGACTGAAGCTGAGCTCCTGAAGAAATCAGAATTTCTTCGCGCCATCAAGGAGAAGGCCCACGGTGTCAAGACAGACGAAAAGGCCGGTCTTTTTACAGGCCCCATGACCATCAGAATTCACGAAGCTGATGGAACACCTTACGAGCACATAGTGGAGATTCGCGAGGATGCTGCTAAGGCCGCTAAGTTCGAGATTCCTTACAACACTAAGTACAAGCGATTAAAGAGAAAGAGGAGAGCAACGGAAAAGCTCAGCGCCCAGTCTGCTGCCGACCCTGACAATAACGAAGACGCACTTTTGTATTGCCTGGGTGATGTTCTGACCAACCCCGAAGATATGAGGAAGTGGGATTTTTCCGAATGGGAGCCCGAGATCGAAAAGGCCATGGACCAAGAGTCTTACGAGTGGATTCGGATGGACGCTGACTTTGAATGGGCTTGCGAGATGAAGACAAATCTCCAGAGCTACATGTACGTGTCCCAGCTCCAGCAAGATAGGGATGTCGTGGCGCAGCAGGATTCGATGCTTTATCTCAAGAAGAGTCCGCCTCATCCACTGGTTTCGACGTTTCTTACCAGAACCCTTGTCGACCGGCGATACTTCCATGGCATCAGGACAATGGCTGCAGAGATGCTATATCACCACGCCGCGGATAAGGTCTCAATGGCTGGCATGACCCATCTACTGAAAGCCTTCACCGAGATGTTTTGCTACGCCGATACCTCCATGCCTCGGCCAAACGACTTTTCCGACAAGAAGCAGTACACCGTGCAGAGCGCACTGCCTATGGCCATTGCAAAGATTCGCGATGCCAGCGGTAGATGTCCCGAAGCCGCACGACGGTTCCTTCTGAATCAGGTTCAATTCAACAACAATGCCAATAACCCGTACTCGGACCATTTCTACGTTGCCAAGCTTCTGGAGGCTCTCGCCCATAGCTTGATTCCAGAGAAGCGACGGGAGTCAGACGATGCCATGGAGGTGGACATGTCAGCCGAAGAGAGAGGTTTCCTTAAGGAGGCTATCGTCGAGATTGATCGCTTCCGTAGGATGGACGAATGGGCCAACTCTTACCAGAACATCTGGACGACCACCGCGCTCGAATGCAGACGGAAACTCATGAAAGCCGGAGTGATTACCAAAAGTGCTGTGGCCTTTGTCCAGTACTTGCAGGATGACACGTGCGACTTGGTTCGACTCAAGGCTTTCGAGGCTCTGGTGGATCTGGGTTATTTGATGGATCTGCCTGTCTTCCGCTTGATTCTTTCCGTCATGAGCACAGATCGGTCTCCATTCGTGCGGGATAAACTCGTCAAGATCTTCTGTACAGGTCTGGCTAGCCTCGCCTTTGGAGAGCAGTCGAAGGCCAAGGTGGCGCCTGCTGTTCCTGATGGCGGGCTCATGATTGTGGACAATACAGAAGCAGAGACGCAGAAGAGGCGAAAAGAATTTGCTCGAAAGCAGGATATCAACGTCGCACTCGAGGCTTTGAGGACAGAGATGGAAGAACAGTTTTCAGAGCAAGAAGCGGCGCTGGAGCGAGCTTTTTGGAAGGCTATCAATTCTAACCTGATCGGGCGTTCTGAGAAGATCACACTGCTGGAGCTTTGCGGCACCATAGTGGATGCTGCTGACCGATGGACGATTACTTTGAAGTATCCTAAACGATGGAGAGTTAATCGTCCTGTCCAGCGTCAACCCGGCAGAGTCAGTTTTTCACTCGGAGTTGGCTATTTCGTCATTTATTTTGCTAACAAACGCGCAGAACATCATCAACTTCAAGGCGTTCTTCAAGACGGGCATACCGCAAAAGATCAAAGAGCCCGAGCCACCGGCGCCAGTACCAGCACCGGTATCTGCACCCGCGCCTGCTCCTGTCGTTGCACCATCTCGGCCGCCCGAACCCAAACGACTCATCGTCAATATGAAGAGTGGTGTTGCCAAACCCAGCAAGCCTACGGTCTCCCTTCCACGCCCCGCTCCCGCGGCCTCTCGCCCATCGCCAGTCTCTGCCGCACAGTCTCCCGTCCCGAGCGCCGCACCGTCGCCTGTCCCTCGGGAGGCAGACTCCATTGTCGCGCACTCGAATGCCAAGGCGTCTACCCCAAAGCCGTCGTTCTCAAAGCTCCCCGGGTCAAGACCGCCGAGTGTGAAGCCCGGTATCGTCAAGGCAGGTATCGCGAAATCTGTGGTGTCTTCGGCTTCATCGTCATCGTCCATGCAGCAAAATGGCCGTTCTACTCCTCAGCCCACACCCGAGCCCGGCAGCAGCAAATCGCAGAAGCGGCCTCGGCCCGACAAGGTTCCGGGGGTTGATGAGGCATCGCCAGCTCTCAAGAAGGCGAAGCTTACTGTTCGGCCTGACGGCACTGTGGTTAAGAAGCGCAGGATGTTCAAGTTCCGGCATCCCAACCTCAGGAGGATCCTGAAGCTGGCCGGCGTCAAAAGCCAGATGCCCTACAGAGACACGTCAAAGATTCGCAGACCTGGCACACCGTTGAGTGTTCGTGCCTCTCCCGCCGGATCACCAGCCCCTCCTCCATCTGAGAGCATCAATGCGAAGCCGGCTCGCAAACCTCTCCCAGGCGCACCGTCCGCGGCCAGTCCTCCTCCACCAGTTCCGGCATCTCTACCGCCGAAGCCTCCGCCGCAAGCATCACCACCTCCCGTTGAAGGTCAACCTGCCCCCAAGAAGGTAAAGCTTGTCATCAAGAAGCCTTCCAGTTCGCTGCCCAAATAAACGGCCTCAAGCCGCTTACTCATGAGATGAGGCCAGAGATATGAATCGCCGGCAGGAAATGCCACTGTGTCCCTTATCATGCCCTCAACTCACAAATTACCTCCTTTCTCCCATCTTCACAGTCATCTTATCATGCTTCCGAAACCGGGTTGCGTGAATTCACATTACATTTTAGGCGTTCTTCCAGGGCTCGAGACAGCGGAGGTCAGGCGGGATTATAAATTATCATTACAACCAGGTCTTAGGGGAAGCGAAACGTAGCAACCCACAGCGAGCGGTTAAAAGAACAATAGGGGCACGAGAAGAGGAACGCGACGAGCGTCCCTAGCGAGCCGTGCTTTTTGTGTATTAGTAAAAAAAAAGAAACACTTTCGGAAGGGAAGAGAGAGGGACGATGAGGAGGAAACAGCCAGCCCTAAAGTCGTAATGATACCTCCCTCAGTCTAGTATGCCTCTTCATTTGCCCATCCATCCTCTTGACGTATTTAAGCTCGAGACTGCATGTGTGACTGCGAACACTTTCTGAGCGGATGGAGGCCTCCGCTAGGTATGATGTTCTCTTCCCGCTCGTCATACCTTCCCCCACATGCTGAAGATGACGTATGTGAACAATATAGAATGTTTTTATGTCTACAATCATGACAGAAAACGGGCGTAGTGGCGGTTGTGCAGCAGGTGGTGGACCAGTTCCGAGATGACCAGTTGAAGTGTAGGTACCCTGGCGACAGGGCCTAAATCAGAGTCAAAGTCTGACAGTCATATATCATCATTACATCACCTCACTACTGTGACAATCCAAGGGGGGATATTGGAGGACTGACGAGACGGGAGCCGAGCGAAGGTTTTCTTGCAGGAGGTAAACACTGTCGTGGTATCGTCACACTGCAAGGACCTTAGGCCAGTGTCCTCGGCAAAATTGGTGCATATAAAGCCCACAACGAATACACGCGAATTTGGTCCCCTTGCTTTCACAAGAGAAGAAACAAGGTGCAGAAGTTTACTGTGAAATTTGTATTTCTTGTTTGCAAAGACTGTAGATGGTTGTACACGCCCCACATCCTGACTGGATTGCGCCGTCTTTTGATGATATTAGAGCTAAAGGGATATTCTACAAAAGGAAGACACAACGCTCCGAAATAACTGAAAAAGGATACGAAGGATGGAAAGGGGAGGCAACGTGGGCCGCCCACCTATGTAAGCCGTAACCAAGTTGCTTCTGCCAAAACAGGATTTGAAGTCGCTGTCCCCTTCCTCCTGGGTTCGCGTGCATGATAAAACTTTCACCCTGGCCTCTGTCTTGTCCCAGTCCCATAAACGCCAGTCTTTTTGGTAGTTCCAAGTAGCAGGATAAGAAAGCAAAAAGCCTCGCCCTTGCGATGAAGATAAAGAAAAACCCCCATGGACCCTATTCAAGATGTGCCGCTCTCTATTGAGAAAAGGTGGTATTAGAGAGAGCTGTGCCGCGGACCGAATTAATGAGAGTGTCCATGGTCGTCGTGGCTGTGACCGTTGCCGTGGTCATGGTCGTGTTCGTGGCCTTCATGGCTATGGGTAGACTGGCTGCGCAGACTTCCAGCAGCTGTAGACTCGGTACAGCAGCCACCTGCTTCGCAATTGTCTACGCACTGCAGCAAGCAAGTCTGCTTTGGCGAGCCAGCAATGGCAGTGCCATCGTATTGAGTAATGTGCTCGGGCTCAGTGACATTGTGGTGCTCGTCGTCACCACAGAATTCGGGTTGTATAGTGGCCGCGTGAATGCCGAAGCCGTGGAGACATCTGCGGGCCGACTTTGCAAGCTTCATGTACTTCTCGCCGTTCTCGGCGGAGATTGGGAAGTTGACATGGACGTGAAGAGAGGCAACAATCTTGGTATCAGAGAGTTGCCAGACGTGAACGTGATGGCAGCTGATGACTCCTTCCAATTTCTCAATGTCCTCGCGGATCTCTTGAAGGTCGATGTTGTCGGGGGTAGCCTGGAGAAGGACCTTGGAGGTCGCCTTCGTGAGGGGGATGGCGGACTTGAGGATAATGAGAGTAATGAACAGGGAGACGGCGGGATCGGCGTAGAAACGGCCAGGCCAATCGGTCAGCCAGATGATCAGAGCGGTGACAATCACACCGACATTGCCAAGAGCATCGCCAATGACGTGAAGAACCATGGCGTTCATTCCCATATCGCCGTGGTCGTGGCCGTGGCCGCCAGAAGCCTTCTTGCGCTCCTTGTTGTGGTTGTGGTCGATGTGAAGGCTGGACTCGCGTCTCGAATGCTTGTGGGAGGATCGGCCACGAGAGTTTTCAATCATGTAGGAGTGGTCGTTGCCCTTAGACTTGAGCAGAGGCGACTCCTCATCAGGCTCGCCATCCTCGATGACGGTCTCCTCAACCTCGCTCTCGCTCGTCGTCGATTCCTGTCCATCACGCTGAGAACGGCTGGCGTCAATAATTTCCTGGCGGAAGCTCGAAGGATAGATGCTTATGTCCTCAATGCTAGTGAGACGCGAGTGGTTTCGCGAGCTGTTTCTTCGGTTCTGGCTCTTGGAGGTGGCCGATGTGCGGCTCTGGGCTCGGCCCGACGGGTCGGACTCCCCATCGAAACGAATGCGACGGGGCGTCTCAGGGTTGGCACCGGCGGAGGCTCTAGCGACGATGGCTTCGGGAAGAACATCACCAATGTTGCCACCATCGTTGTCGGTAGCGTGCGAGACGTGGGCGCGGCCTTCCTCGGCGGCGTGTTCTGCAGAGTGGGGGTGATCGTGTCCATGGTCGTGCTCACCGTCGCCGTGATCGTGGTCGTGACCGCCGCCGTGGGAGTGGCCATGGCCGCCGAGGACAAAGAAGCCGACGAGGTTGGAGGCAAGGCCGAATGCACCAACAACGAGAATGAGGACGGGGTTTTCGATTTCGGGAGGGTCAAAGAATCGGGTAATGGCCTCGAGAATAATGGAGACGCAGAGGGCGATGAGGAAGACGGCGTTGAAGAAGGCGCCGAGAATCTCGGCTCGCAACCACTGCACACTCAAGTTAGCTCAATGTTGTCTTCCATCGAGTGGAAGGTGAATGACATACACCATAGGAATACTTGTCGGTGGTAGCCTTCCTTGCGACGGCGACAGCCCAGAGTCCGACACAGAGAGAAATGATGTCGTTGAGCTACTTCAGTTAGCGATACGTCGCACGCAGTGCGACAGGGTGGTATCGGGGCAAACGCACCATGTGGAAGGCATCGGCAGTCAGGGCCAGCGACTTGACAACCAAGCCAACAATCAACTCGACGAGAAAGAAGACGACATCGATGGCCAGCATGATGCTGATCCGCGTCGACTTGGACCACGCCATGATGGGCAAACGTCGATTGACCGCGGACGATGAAGGGATAGGAAGAAAAGAGCTCTATGAGCCCTGGGCTGTATTAGGTTGGCCCAGTCGGCAGGTTTATGGTAGAAGGTTACGTCGTTGTCGCTGTGGTCGCTTTTTGTCGCTGTTGCCCGTTTGTTGGTTGAAGATGCGCGGATCGGGGGACAAGGGGGGGAGGGGGAAAAGAAGGGAAAGAGCGAAGGTGGAGGGGCGTTGCCGGAATGATATTTGAGTGCTGCTGCGCAGAAGTGGGAGGGTAAAAAAAAGATTGAGTTTTTGGGGAGGGTGCGGTAGTGGAGAGTGGCAGAGTGAGGACGCGAGTTGAGTTTGGCGCTACGCTGTATCTTGACCTGACGGAGTGGGAATAATATCGCTCTCGCTCTGCATTGATTAATTGCTTGCTTCCTTTGCTGCTTTGCTTGTCGGTGCTCAGTGCCCACTGCTCTTGCTGCTGCTGCCACTCTATATCACGTTCTCTTCTTTCTCAGATGATGTACGGGATACCGATGATTAATTGGGACGGGCCACAGTCAGGGGGGTTAAAGAAATGGAGAAAAAAGACCGGAACGCGGTCGGACGCGGCGATGGCACAATGCGCAATCCGACAGCGAACGGTTTGCAGATGTATTTAGGTATTGATGTAGGTATTCCTAAATCAGGTAAGGTGGGTATCATGACGGAATGGGGATTTGCTTCCTTTTTTCCCCCCCTCTCGTTGTCGATTGTCTCTCCTCTACCTCGCCTTATTAGGTGGTGTACGAAGTATCGATACGAATCTGGACGGAACCCATTTCCCCCCTCAACAGGCGAATAACACGTGCTTGCTGTTGGCTGCTCGCAGCACGCAAAAACCAAACAAACAAGATGGATGCAAAGGGACCAGGGGGCGACTCCAACTGAACGGGAAGGGGAAAGACTCACAGGGCATGGGGCAAGGGGGGGCAAATGGCATCTCAGGGCACCGTCAACTCAGACAGAAACATCAGCTCTACCTTAGTAAGGTAGAAGGGGCACTTTCCAGGGAGGTCTAGAGACTTTAGGAGTGATGGAAGCAAAGAGAAAGGGGCTTTCCAAGTTCGTGACTACCTTACTGTAAGGTGCGATAGACTGCACCAGAAGCACCAAACGCAAGGTACCCGAGCTGAGCAACAAGTTCTGATTCAAAAGGACAGGCTAAGAAGCCCCGAGTGCATCGGAAATGCATCGGTCCTCCGCTTCAGCACCGGCCCCATCGCCGCTACCGCCACCGCACCTCAGTGACAAAAAGACCGAGCTTCGGACATGAACAGATATGCCCGTAAGCCTTACAGCCTGAGATCAGCCTGAGATTAGACGAGAGAAAGGTACGATACTCCAAATCTGTGAGAGCTCGCAGAGCTAAAAGCCACGCCGCAGATTAGACCGTGATGATGCAGCATTTATCAAAGCTTCCGGTTTTCTATCCAACAGTAGCAACGTCCCGTCTCTCTACACGCATTCTTGGGCGACGGGCTGACGGGGGTGGCTTGCGATCAGCCTCTCATTGGCCGAATGAGGTCAAGAGCTCCCCCACCACGCCTGCCTGCAACGCAGCTTCTTCGTATGATGTATCCAAGTATCCGGACGGAGTAAATGGAAGCTAACGTACTGACAAACAGAGGCAAGTGTGAACAGCACGTATCTCTGCCCTGGTACTTTGCTCCTTCTCACCAGCCAGCCACCAGTCAGCCCGTCTTACTCCAGCACTTGTCTTGCCTTCCCTTCCGAGTCCCGACAATTTTCTGCAAAACCACCACTCCATACAGCTCTTCAGAGACGTGCAAGTGCAACCGCAGCCCAGCTCGTTATTCGGTTCGGAGCACCACCGAACCGTTACGGTGGGAAATATCGTCTCGGAGCTTTTTATCGTCGACTGGCACTTTACCACTGTTACACCCGACCATTCCCCAACATCTAGTCTGCCAGTGACCCAATTTCCGGGGATTGAGGGAGATTCGTCATGCGTTGATCACTCCATTTCAGGAATCACTGACGCATCTTCCCAACGACCCCAGCCAGCCCCGATTTCGGCGCCATTCCCAAGAAAATTGAAAAATCGCCCCCACGACTGAAGCTGTCAATCGTCCTTATCGCCGACCTTGTTCGCCCTGCGAGTCTCCCAGGCATCTGCTTCCCATCCCTGTCATCCCCGGCTGCGATACCCGTCCGGTCGGCCAAGCCGGGAGCCGTTGTGGACTCTACAGCTCGGTCCCGTCGACTAAACCTTTTCACGACTCTCTCCAGGGCCTAGACGCTTTTATTCTTCGTCAGCGGTGCTGTCTTTCCACGATTTGTATCGAAATGCGGAAGACCTCCTCACCTATCCTCCGAAAAAGACCGCTGCTGTGAACACAATAGCACCGGCAGAAAAGACCGCGGACAGCGGCATGGCTCACTGTGGTTGACAGCACTGGTTCCCTGATAGATCCCCGCTACTAACAAATACGACCAGCACTGCGGCGTATCTAAGTACGATTGTCAATATGAGGTTCGCAAGCTCGAAGATTACGAGCGTCTCTTACGCTGCAGTTCCTGCGAAGATCTCCCCTCGTTTGGCATTCGTTGTCAGACCTACACACAAAGCAAACGCAATAGTGATTGCACATATCATGCCCACTTTCGCTGACCAGCTAGAGACGTACGAAAAGCCGACGATGGCTCCGATGAGCAGAGTTGCCGCGAGTGCAATACTGATCAGACTGACTGCCACTGTGATTGACTTTTCATTATATCGACGGATCCGATGAAGCCCGTCACGGGATAGTTCGTCCTTGACAGTGTTAGAACAAAACTCGATGAGATGCTGGAGAACCCATTACCTGTCCCGGCCAACAGGCACGGAGCCTTTTCGAGAGAAAGTCAGCCTCTGCTGGCACTTTCAAGGAAACTAAGTCGGTCTCGTCTTCCAAGAAGTGTCTTGACCTTCCACCGAGCACCGGCAATGGCTGCTCGAGCCAGTTCCTCGTGGCTTCTAGTGCTCTTCTCTCAGGGGGATGCATGGCCACTCTCTCACTTTGAAGCTTGAGCGTCTCATCTGCCCTCGTATCAACTCATGTTTTGGCAATGTAGTACGGCGGTTGGGGCAAAAACTCACGGTATTCCCTGAGCTTTACCCGTAGCTCTCGCACCGCCGCTATCATATTTACAGCTCTCGGCTCACCCTCATTGCTTTGAGCAAGGAGCCTTTCCCATTTTCTTGCGAATTCTTGCAGCGATGTGTCGATGTTTCTATCGACGACCCGATCAAATTTTTCCAGCCTTTCCTCGAGAGCCAGAAGTTCGCACTGGAGGTACAGGATATTGCGGGCGCTTAACCTATTGAATCTGCGAAAGATGAAGCTCTCGGAATCGACATCACTGGCCAGCAACCAAGAGGCTTCCGCAAACCCCTGGCTATGGTCCTTAGTCTCTGCAAAGTTTTGGATGTCGTTCATGACGCGTTCAGTTCAAATCGACGTGAGACCATCAGACTGCCCTGTGCCTATGCTCCCGTCGGCATTGGGTAGAGCAATAACCAACGGAATCGGCAAGATTGGGCTCCGTAAGCAAGAGTACGCCTTGGGCTGTGACCCATTCAGGCGCAATGCCATTTTCGTCCAATTACTACAAGCGAGGCATCATGACCGCGACAGCAGGCAGACTCTTACAAATTGCAGGATCTCCCACACTGCCATTGTGCTAATGTTCCTAAACAATCCGATGCGAACTGTTATTCGTTCCAACCCCCCATTACCGTACATGACTTTTCTCATGAAATACAATTGCAACTCGAAAGAACATCTGCCCACCAACATTCAATTCTGGGGATAGCCATCCCCGAACAACTAATGGAGGATTGGAGACCTACAATAATAGACTGGTGGGAGCGGCCTGCGTAAGTGAGGATATAAGCAGACCCGTTCGCGTACTAACCTCGCAGTTCTGATGAATTTGAAGACGATGATTTTCTACCCTTGGTAAGCATAAACAAAAGAACAGCTCCGTGTGTGAATTTGAGTCATGCTAATCCCAAAAAGATAGAAACAAACGCTGCCCCGAAGCGCGTCCTCAGTGCACTTGTAGGTGAAGAACACAATGGCAACAAGCGCGTCCCCAACGAGCTTATTCGTGATGGTACCGATCGATACAAGTCCGCCCAGCCCTTATCCGTCCTAGACGTTTTCAGCCGATTCACGCCTGATCATAAGAGCCCTGATCGCCATAATCCTGATCGCACGACTATGCCGCCATTGGCTCTCCCCATATCCACTGGCAGACTCGAATATAAGATTGGGGCGAGGATGGGGATGGAGCATATCGAGGCCTTACCCGACACAGGGGCACAGGTCAACGCTATCTCTACCCGTCTAGCTGCGAAATTGCGTCTTAAGCCCAAAGCTAATACGAAGAAATTAATTCGGCTTCCAACGGGGGTCACATCACATCGCCAGGCCGCGTGGAGGTGCCATTCAGCTTCAGGGGGGAAGACGCAATCACGGATCTAGATTGCTTTATCCTCCCGCATTGTACGCGCGACTTGATTCTCTCAGGGCCTTTCCTCCGGGTCACTGAGACGTTGACGAAGTACAAAAGTAGGGTCGTCGCTGCTGTTCGCAAGGGCAGCAGAAGACTTGGCTTAAACGTCTACTTGGGAACGAAAAGCGGCGACTTCATGGCCTTATCAATGGAGAACCTGTCCAGGCTCTCCCAGATACCAGGTCCGACATCATGGCTGTTTCTGAAGCTTATGCATTGTCCCGCGGCTTCGATATCGACAGGAATCTAGAGCATTATCTTGATGTTGATTTCGCTGATGGCTCAGAAGGCTTCATCTGCGGCCTGGTCCGCGGGGTTGAGTGGACGTTCGCCGCATCACAACAAAGCGTCAGGTGCGACTTCTATGTCATTGAAGACTTGTGTACAGATGTCGTGCTCAACAGCGAGTTCATATTTGGACTTGATGTGTTTTCCGCCCAATCTGAGTCTCTATCGGAGCTGCCAGACAGCGAAGACTATTCAGAGTTGTTGCTCATCAGCCTCAAAAGCAACGGCTATTTTAATTTGCCACAGCGTGAGGATGTATTCAACATTGATCGTAAGCTCGAATGCTTCCATGCAGCTGAAGAGGAGAAATGCTAATTAGAAGTCTTGCTTGCGTCAGTGAATTCACCAGATGCTTCCAATCGCCAGCGGGTACTTGCAGAACTCAATTACCGCGACGAAGTGGACGATCTAATCGACACGCTGGACCCCGACAAGCAAGAAGCTGCTGAGAGGGCAGAACTGAGAGACGAAGGTTATGGGAGGAGCTTCGGCAGACGCACCAACAACTACAAGTTGCTGCCCGACTGAACGGAAGCACTTTGCCAATGACTGCGCCAACCCAAGACACAAACACGGCGACGAGTAAACGTAGAAGGTGGACCTTCAGGTTTCGCATACCTTCGTTGAGGGCCGCGAGGAAAGGAGGCTAGGAGCTAGCGGCGCAGCCCAGGTATCTGGGAAGTCCTTTGAAGCATGGCGTTCTGGTGTCTGGCGTACTGGGCGGAGTTTGTGAATTGGATATGTACTCTTCTAAGAGTGATGATCGAGCTAATGTGTTTTTGGTCATAAAGTTACGCGCCTAACCTTTTACTTCTACGATGAGCTTGCTCCTACTATTGTAATTTCAATGCCATACGGGTACAAAGTTCCAAAGACTCTACCATGTGCCATCCTCAGTTGTAGATGACCGATGGAAGATGAGTACCTGATTCACTCTGTGGAAAACCAAGTATCTGGACTCGCTCCAAACGGCATAGATCCAAGCCTTCGACTTGCTCTTTCTGCCGTGAAAGCCATGAATTTCATTTGCGACTTCGGCCAGCCCAACATCCTCCCGAGGTCTACGGTCTCATCAATACGCTTCCTGGGTTCTTCAAAGACCAATCTCCGCGGAGAAAGATCAGGTATGGTCGATGGGATAGTCTCGTGCCGATACAAACTCACGCGCGAACATGGGAGATCTCGAGCCATGCCGCCCTCCCCGCCTCGCAGCTTTGCATACAATGTGGAAGTGGCATCTCGTAATCATTTGAAGCTTCTCGACATCTGCTGGTGCGATGCCTACTCCGGCTACCTCCTCAATGTGCATACTGGATGTGAATATAGTCGGCCGATTTCGCAGTAGTCCCAGGTAGTAAACAACCAAGGTTCCGGTACGAAATTGTGCCATACCGCCACCAGAGAACCCCTCACGTGCCCCTTCTCACCGAAAGACTATCTTCCAAACTCTAGACAGCATGCTTAGGCAAGCCTCACACGCAGCCCTGGCGCCATAATAAGCCATCGTCCTTGTTTAGCTGCCATCTCGAAACTTTGAGAACACCGTTCGGTCCGGAAGCCAAGGCGGACGTTGTGCCTTTGGCTGGGAAACCTACCACCTCCCAAGGAGTAGCAATAAGACTGTTGGACTCATTTTTGCGGATCAACCCTATGTTCATCTGCTACCGGCTCGAATCGACCTCACCCTACCATCCGCACAACTGACATCTCGTGCCAACAGCAAACCATCGCGCAAAGGCCTCAAACCGACTCTTCTGAAGCCCTCTCAGCTCTCCTCCGTTCCATAAAAGCAGCAAGCAACTGATCATACGGCGCAGACCTCCCAGCCACCGCCCGTTTCGAGCCCATTGAGTGTCTCTTGCAAGCCAGAGAGCCACCACACCGACGACCCTCGCGCAGCGGGACGCCACACTCGCGTTCGACATCGACGGAATCTAGAAGTGGAGTGCCCTTGCCATCAGCCACTGCAGATTGGCAGACAAATATACTCATTGTGCACTGCGGATGGATTTGAGTTTTAAATCAACATACTTTCTGCTGCCTGACTCCTCTCGGAAGTCTGCGGCGTCGGAGTGGGACCCGCGTGTTCGTGGAATTGAGGAGGAAGTGGTGGTGGTGGTACTTGATCAACTGTATGCGAGACTTCGCTTGAACGGGCGGGGTCCATGGTCAGACGAGGTTGGATGGGTGGGATGGTTCGGCGTTACACTCGACTTCGACTGAGCTGAATAATGGCGAGATACTGAAGATCCCGGTATTAGCCTCTGCAAGATGGTGCGGTTTTATCATTGAGCCTAAGTGCGTATGTAGTAGCTACTCACTGTTGCAGAAAAAATGCCAGAAAGTGGCGGCGAGAGGCCGAACCAAAGAACGGGTTTCTTTGGGCGTCCAAGAAAACAAAGTTCCGGATACTACATAGATGAATGGCGGATGACAGAGGGACCTTTGAAGTCTCGGATAAAAGACCTTCGTTGTTAGGGAGGCAGGGTAGGGCAAGGTAGGATAAAGTGGCAAGTAACTTGTAGTCGGGAAGGATGGATGTCGCTTGGTCGGCACGTGAGCTTCTGCCTGGTGCGCGGCAGCTCGGGGCTGGGTACCGACGGAGTAGTATCCACTTAAGTCCGACTCGGTCCCGGGAGGCGTCGGCGGTGACCCACCCGAAGGGGCCGACATCTCCTGGCTTCAGGATAACGAGACTCTCCAGGCTCTGGACTACGAGATAGGCCATGCTTTTTCAAGGACAAGTTCCACGAGTTGTGATACACCCGTTACCTAGGTTGGGCTCTCAGAAACTGTGCCCTTTTCCTCCGGATGTATATGCAAGTACAAGTTTCGTTCAATCTCGATTGCTCATGACTGGCCGTGGATTGTATGTTTCAAGTATATAACATAGCCTCATAAGGAATTGATCCTTTTGGTATCTCAAGGCAGGGATGAGGCTTCGATTGGTGGATCATCTGGGGCGAACGGCACTCGATCTTCGCCAAGACACGGCACGGCGGCTTGAATGTCGACTTGTCTACCCTCTTTTCGTGCTTTGAACCAGCAGAAGTCTGAATGTTTGCCCCTAAAACACTTGAAAGAAAAGAGATGTATCTCTCAACGGTCAAAGAGGATCTGCTGGTCTCGCCAGGTCCTGCGTCCCTGATGATTAGCGCCTTGACGATAAGCCGTGAGTATCAGAGACGCATACCCCTGGAAACCTACCCAGCTTGAGGTTGGTGGTAAAAAGAACGTTGCATCCTCCGGCCGTGAAAGACCTTTGCTCATCGACAACCCTGCAATGGCCAACTGGCAACAGCGCCAATTCTGTCCAATCCTTTCTTATGACTGCAACCTCCCGACGTAGGCGTGTAATCCCGAGGCGTCATCTAGCTCGACGACTCTTTGACTACGTCGAGAGCTATCAGAAAGCCGAAGAAGACCAACGACAACTAAGATCGCGTTAGCAAAGTGGTCATCTTCCACTGGCAGATTGCTAACATTGCGTGATAGTGTCGGAGCAACATACAATCAAGAACCCCAACGCGAGCGTTGTTAGTTCGAACCCTCCGGCTAATGCCTTTCCGGCAAACATGGCATGCTGGAGCCTCCAGGCTCGGAACGCTCCAAGCAAAACGATACAGATTGAGAAGCTGTAGCACAAGGTAGCAAGAGGTTTGCCCACGGCCGTATATCCAAAGCCTGTATCTAACGCCTGCAAGGCGAAGAGCTGCGCTACCATGGTCCCGAGAACAGCCGTAGCTAGTGATGTGCGAAGGTATCCTAGGAATGTTCGCTCGATCGCTTTGACGACAGGAACAAACTTCTGTTAGCTATTGGCCTTTCATTGATTCTTGCCGACGAAGACAAAAGGCAAGGCTGGTAAAATAGGGATGACGGGACAGGTTCCGGCCACGACAGCTGTCTGGTACATGGCATCATGAGACTGCAAGAGTTCGTGTCACAATGTTTTGGTGCTGCTGTGGATCCAGCCGAAATGATCAGTGGCCCATCAAGCGCAAAACCATGTATGGGATGTGACCTTGTCTTTACCCCAGAGAGAAGACAACCGTTTTAGTGTTGAAGAGGGGGGATGTAACATTGAACAATTTAATAGACATGATGATGCCTACATGCAATTTCTGGCCACGCAAATATTGCCATGCAGAGAACGGAAGATGGCAAATGAAGACGGCCGTGAGACAAATATCAAGGATCAGGGTCTAATGTTCTGGTGACGAGGAAAGAAACTTTCGGGGCAACCGGGACGATCAGGAATGACGATCTCGAAGGGATTCTAGCTACAAAGCGGGGAGGCGTCGGGGGTCACTAAACCATACAGACTGCTGCGTAACTGATCATCCGGTGCAGAAACATCTGGAACAGTGACATCCCACCATCTTCCCGTAAAACCGGGACGGAATAGCAGAGCTTTGAAGAACATGCGGAAGGGGATTTCCGAACTCAATCTTGAAAAGCTCTCGATGCGAAACTGTGCGTAAAGAGCAAATAGACAATCCGTTGGTTGCGCACAAGACGTACCTAGGTGGTCGCGGCAAGTCTCAAATTCCACTACTACGCTGACTTGTTTACCCCAGAACCGCTTAATGAGCCATTCTTCGCTAGACGACGGCGGGTTCTGGGCCGATGATTCCGCACTTGACGCCTCGGTGTTGTCCTTGTCCTTTTCGGAAACATTCCGAGCTGTCTCTGGCCGATCTTGGTTCGCATCATCGTCGTTTCGCTTTTCGTGACATTGCATCGGCTCCTGCGATATGGTATCGGAGATGTCCTCCGATGAACGAGACTCCTGTGATGGCATGCTGTGTGTTTCCTGTTCGGCGACAGGCAGCTGTTCGTGTAAGGTATTCGGCCTACCAGAAGTTGAGAACGGCCCAGACCTTGCCAAGACTCAAGGAATAGCAACAAGTAGACTATTGAATAGATGCAGGAACGCCGACTTGGCTGCGTGGGTTCAATATCGATAAGCCTCCGGTTTATTGCAGACTTGTTGTGTAAGTGTTGTTTAGTGTCGTTATGAGACGTTGCTGAGTGGCAGATTGCAGGCGATTGAACAACTCCAGGTATGGTCAGATGAAGCCCCTATTGTCACAATCGACTCGGAGGACAACGAGCAAATCTCAAACATCATGAAGGAGCCGGGAGACGAAGGCACCTGTCCTGATGTTCAACTGGCTGGCAGTATGAGCTCGGCGACGACGTCGGGCAGACGGCAGTCGGGGGCGGCAAACTCGCTCGACATACAGACTAAATGCGGCTGCCGGCGATAGGGACCAAAACTGGCGCAGACGTTGAGTTGCCGACATAGATAGGGCAAATGGTCGCCGATGAAAACGAATGATCCACTGCCTAGACAGGGGTGGCTAAGTGGTCGGTGGCTTGATGGACGATTCGATGTTTGAGCCAGGAGATGCTTGATTCAGTTGGTAGAGGCCAACAACCAGCTCTTTCTCTCGTGTGGGAAATTGTGACCGTGTTCGGACTACTCGATTCCTTCAGAGAATAGGAACTTGAGATGTGGTCTGCGTGGATTTCGCTGTTGTCCCTAGGTGTTCTGGAAAGGTCATCGTACATAGCGTAGAACTGAGCAAGGGAGTGAGATGGAGACAATGCAGCTCCCCGCACTCCACTGTTCTCCAACTTCTAGATCTGCGACCTACGTAGTAATTAGTGGCAGGAGCATCCACACAGAAATGGCTAACCAGGACGGTGGAGGCAGGCAGTTCCGCTCCGGCGGGTTTGACGGCTGATGTTTGGGTTGAGGTGACCTGAGATCTTGTGATGGAATGGAACGTACCAAGAAATTTGAGGACGGAACGAGGCTCAGGTATGGGCGCAATAAGAAAACCTCCGACGGGTGTCCCTCTGCTTTCTGCTCACGCCGGTGGTGAGGTACGTCCACTCCACGGGTCACAGATGCTTCCGAGCCGAACTCAGGGTCGCATCTCGCCGTGCAGGTGCATTTTCTCCGTGACTTCCGTACCGAAGTCATCTATCCTCAGGTAAGGTACCCGAGCTGACGTGCTTTTCGCAGCTCCTTTCACATTAACTTGTTGCATATAGACATAGGAAAGCATGACGTATCACGGTTGGGATTGATGTGACTGCTCGTGCTTCGTTCAACACTGTCTTGTCGAGAATCATCGCCGCTTCCCTACCTTGGCCAAGGCAAACCAAAATAGTCATCGACACCGCGGGATCCTTATTCGATATGCAACCGCCAAGTTTGCCGGAGAGACTTCCGCAACAGTCAGGCACTTCACGCCAAGCCCCAGCTTTCGTCAATTCGTCTGTGAAGTCCCAATGAGAATGGAGTCTCGACAGGTCATGTCGCTTTCCGTCCAGAGTTGCACCACATGAGACGAACGACGACTTTTTGAGATGGACAGCCGATCAAGCACTGGAATGAGAGGACACTGCGCTAAATTTATCGCCTGATTTTTTTGAATCGTTGCTGTTTGACCTACTTCAGGTGACGGGCCGTTATACGGCGTACCTCTGCAAGGTGCGGATGCAACGCAGCCATACACCACACGCAAGCAGTGTCCGAAGAGCCTTTCGTTGGGGTCTTCGATTGGAGCCAGTCTCGATCTAGCGCCGAGGCCAGTACTACACATCAGGAACAGGACATCCGACTTTAATACGGCTCGTCCAGGAACGCCATGGTTATCGGCAAGGCACGGCTGGTCTGCATCCGACCATGCTGCAGTTCTTACACCGACGCAACCCTCCCCGATTATCGAAAAGTTCGACGGGCGTCTTCAGAGAGCCGGGATGTTCAGGCCAAATGACAAAACCATCTGGCTTGATATCCGGTTCATGGAAAGATGATTTCCCGCCTTCGTTGGGAACAACCTTCCGCATCGACAGTCAGAATATCGGGAGGCAACGACATAATTCTGGCTTCTGATAATAGTCTACACCTTGCGACGTATCATAGTAGCCCTCATTTTGGGATTGACTTTGTTGGACCAGCTCCCTCTCGCATCAACGACGAAGAGATCGCATGTAAGCGTGAGCCCGTCTGACTCTGAGCCTGGGCCTACCTACCTACGAACAGGGTAATGACCTAGCTCGGATGGGGAAGCTTCTTAAGGGTAGCCGCAAGCAACCCGGCGATCAGGGATCTGTCAGTGGAACAGCAGCGACCCAGACGCCGTCCTGTTGGGACTCGGAATCCGGTCCCCACCTCCCCAGTCTCGCCATGCAAGTTTGTCTTCCCGGCAAGCCAATCCGGCTGACTAAAGGTTAGGACGGGCCGCCGAGCCGTCCTTCGGTTCCTTCATCATGAATTCTCGCCTCAAATCGCCCTGGATCTCGATAACGTAGGTATTGTCAGCTATGCAGGCTCTCGTCCGCCCTATCCTACTGGATGCTCCTTCGCTGAACGTTATTGCCACTGGACAAATTTCGACGCGGACACATGCAACCTTTTATATTCCTTGCGGCCAACGAGTTCAGGTTGCCGATCCTTCGCGGCATCGACAAGTTCACTGGGCATGGAACTTGCCCATCATCCACAGCCGATGATGGCAAGCCCCTCGTGCTCCTCCGGCGAAGCAGGGGCCGTCAGCCCAGCCCCGTGCTCCCAATCGGACAGTTGGGGTTTCGTTCAAAGGGTGCACGTAATGGCCAACTGGAAACGCTGACGGTTCCGATACTCCGTCTGCACCACCGCGGGTTTCTTTGAAGTGCCATGGGGCATTGGTTTGCTGGTTCCCGAACAAGTGCAACGAAGGCCAGTCTGTCCGTCGTCCCTGGATTCCTTGACCACGCGGCGACAACTTCCGATCTGCCGGGGAACTCTTTTTAGCGCCCATGCGCGGCTTTATGCGGGATGAAATCGATACTGGCTGGGATCAAAAGCTGCGATCTTAGGTTCCAAACGTTGCGCAGTTCCTGGTTCCTCCTCAAATCTCGCGTTCCATGCCATGAGTTTGTGATTGACAACCTTGACATGCGTATGCAACCAAGCGGAACGCAGCTCTCGGCAGCGATGCACCGAATACTAACAAGATCGATAGCACGATGGCACTACAGAAGTCGGGTGCCTGTCGATTAAGCAATAGTCCATTTGCCGGCTACCGCTTTGCCTCATTCGGCTCAACTTTCTCACGGATGCTTCGCGATGTTGCAGGAATGGCAGCCTGGACAATGGTTCGGAAGAAACGGTCTTGACCAAGGGACCTTACGAGAACAAGGCCCCTATTCTCACACCCCTTGGGGAAGCTGACGTGAAGCAGGATAGGTAGGTATCCGTAGCGCAACCCCGGTTCTTCCCCACTTGGCCACTTGCTTGCAGTCATTTGTCCGCTAACTCGACTCACTCCCTCCAGAACCCCAACTGCTTCCCCATCCACCTACCTTGCGTCCACCGCTCGAACGGTCCGTTCTTACCGAAAGAGCCCATATCGCCCAGAAAGTATCAGTGAAAAGAAAGTACGGAGAGCGCCTTTCATCAGCAATGCTTTTGCATGCTTAGGCATGGCACAGCAGCTCGACAGGGAATAGAAAAGCATCTGCCGGTCATGAAGTCAAGTGACTCGACTTGAAGCGCTCAAATCCCACATTGGCCTTGCTTGTCATCGGCGGTGTTGTGGTGACCCTCACTTGCAGACATTTGGACACCAACCCGCCTCGCCTGTCTAGGGTGGTGAGAAATCTCCCCATCCCGGCAGCCAATGTTGCCATCCACCACCGAGCTTTCCGTTTCCTATCGATGCTGGACGGAGGATTGCCCACAAGCAGCTGACAAGTTGCCATTGAAGCTTCCGTTTGAAAGACGTACGTGGGAAAGTTATCCTCCGTTTATATGTACTAGTCCCCATACGTCTGCCCAACCTTTCGGGATCCTGCCAGGTTGTACTTCGTTTCTCACCCCTTCCGTGGCTCTCGTTATCAGTCTCGTTTCTTTACTTTCTTCTGAAACTAGACCCATATTGCCTCATCTTCATTGATCGTCTTTCATTAAGACGGATAAATGTCGGGCTCATGTGAGCATTCATGCTTGAGGTTTGCCTGCACTTCGAGTCTCATATAAGTCTTACATACGTCCATCGCCAATTTCTATTTGGCGTACGCTGTATCTTACAGCCGCCTGTTCTACCACACCCTGCAAAGATCAGCCTCGTCTCTCCTAGAGAGTGACTCCGGCAAGCAAGAACTGCAGAACCCTCAAAATAAGCTATTACGCTAGCGGCGTTCATCAAGATGAGCACTGTGACAGACAGTCAAGCGGAGCGCGACGTTGAGGCACCCATCTCTCCGCCCGAGACTGAGACGACCAATTCGACTCCGAACACGGTGTTTTCTCCACCATATAGTCCCCCGCAGAAGGTTCAGCAACTTTTGAGAGACACAAGAGTTGCAGCAAGAAAGAAGATAGATCAGCTAACGCTGGAGGAGAAGGTACAGCCACAACAGTCATCGCCTCGGAACAGAGGGCCACCACTAATAGTACATAGGTCTCGCTGCTTACCGCCGCAGATTTCTGGAGGACAAAGGCTATACCATCCAAGAGCATACCGTCAGTGAAGACATCAGATGGGCCAAACGGAGCCCGTGGTGGTATTTTTGTCGGCGGAACCAAGGTTTGTCACACTTGATAACATTGTCCTCAACTGAGTAGCTAATTTTGGTAGGCTGCTCTTTTCCCCTGCGGAGTCTCCCTAGCGGCAACCTGGAACAAGGACCTGCTCTACGAGGTTGGCCAACACCTTGCCGACGAGGCGAAAGCAAGATCTGCGAACATTCTACTGGCGCCGACAGTCTGTATGCATCGGCATCCCTTGGGTGGGCGTAACTTCGAGTCCTTCTCGGAGGACCCTCTTCTGACTGGCAAACTGGCTGCCCAGTATGTTCGTGGCTTGCAGGAGAAGGGTGTGGCCGCAACCATCAAGCGTTTGTGCATTGTATTCTCAAGAAAACTGACTCTTTCTAACATCTAACAGACTTCGTGGGCAATGAGCAAGAGACTCACAGACTAACGATAGATTCTCTAATCCAAGAACGTCCCTTACGTGAAATTTACCTGCGACCGTTTGAGATTGCTGTACGAGAGGCGAATCCATGGGCTCTTATGTCCTCATACAATCTCGTCAATGGCGTACATGCAGACATGCACAATCTGGTATTGACGGATATTCTTAGAGGCGAGTGGGGTTACGATGGGTAAGAGAAAATCGATTGTTGCCTACCTTACGGTTTCTGCTTGCTGACTTACTTTTAGAACAGTCGTGTCTGACTGGGGCGGCACGAACTCGACGGCAGAGTCCATCATCGCAGGGTGCGATGTCGAGTTCCCGTACTCCCCAAACTGGCGTTTCGAAAAGGTGATTGAGGCCATGAATGAGGGCAAAGTGGCCCTAGAAGATATCAACCGCGCCGCAGAGAACGTCCTCACGCTTGTAGAGCGACTTAAAGGCGATGACATGTCAGCAGAACTGCCAGAGAGAGAAGACAATCGCGAGTCCACACGCAGTCTGATCCGCACTGCTGGGGCTGAGGGCCTGACGCTTCTCAAAAACGATGGCGCGGTCCTTCCCCTAAACCGGAAAACAACCAAGGTTGCCGTTATTGGGCCAAACGCAAACCGAGCCATTGCTGGTGGAGGAGGAAGTGCAAGCTTGAACCCCTACTACAGAACACTTCCACTGGACAGTATCCGCGCAACTTCTGAGCAAGAGGTTGCTTTCGCTCAAGGCTGCCACATTTATAAATGGCTTCCAGTGGCGTCACCATACTGTACCGAAAAGTCAGGCAAGCCCGGTGTCAATATCGATTGGTACTCTGGCGACAAGTTCAAAGGCGAAGTGGTTGTTGTACAGCGACGAGTGAATACGGACTTGTTTCTCTGGGATTCCGCACCCCTAGCCGAGATTGGCCCTGAATGGTCAGCAGTCGCGACGACTTACCTTACGCCAAAGAGTACTGGAAAGCATACAGTCAGTTTCATGAGCGTTGGCCCTGGCAAGTTGTTCGTGAACGGAAAGCTTGCTCTAGATCTTTGGGACTGGACCGAGGAAGGGGAAGCCATGTTTGATGGGTCTGTGGACTATCTCGTCGACGTCGACATGGAGGCTGGTAAGCCTGTGGAGCTAAAAGTCGAGATGACCAACGAGCTTCGCCCGGTGGCAAAGCAAAAACAATTTGGCATAACGCACAAGTACGGAGGGTGCCGGATTGGCTTCAAGGAAGAAGACCAAGTAGATTTCCTCCAGGAGGCCGTGGATGCGGCTAAGGCGGCTGATGTAGCAGTTGTCATTGTTGGCCTGGATGCGGAATGGGAGTCCGAGGGCTACGACAGGCAGACAATGGATCTACCTTCCGATGGTAGTCAGGATCGACTCATCGAAGCAGTGGTCAAAGCGAACCCCCGTACTGTTGTCGTCAACCAGTCCGGCACGCCTGTGACTATGCCTTGGGTCGACCAGGTTCCGGCCATTATTCAGGGATGGTACCAGGGACAAGAGGCCGGCAATGCCTTGGCCGACGTCTTGTTCGGCATCAAATCCCCGAGTGGAAAGCTCCCGGTAAGTCATTTGTTCCTTGTATCTGCATACTAGCTGACAGTCGTGGAAGTCAACTTTCCCCAAGCGCATTCAGGACACCCCCGCTTACAACAACTGGCCTGGCGAGAACCTGAAGGTCAACTACGGCGAAGGCTTGTACATTGGGTACCGCCACTACGAGCGAGCAAGAATCGAGCCGCTGTTCCCCTTTGGTCACGGTCTTTCCTACACCACTTTCGAGTACGGCCGTCCATCAATCAGCACAAAGACGCTCACATCTCGGGGCACAATCGAGGTCATCTTCGCAATTAGCAATGTTGGCTTGGTGCCTGGCTCCGAGGCCGTGCAGATCTATGTGCGGGATGACAAGTCCAGGCTACCTCGCCCGGAAAAAGAGCTTGTCGCCTTTGAGAAGGTGTTCCTAGAAGCTGGGGAAACGAAGCACCTCACTATTCAGCTCGACAAGTATGCTGTGGGCTACTATGACACCTCGGTCCCGGGCTGGGTCGCCGAGGAGGGCACATTCAAGATCCTTATCGGCGCATCATCTGCTGATATCAAGTGAGTCGCCCAAAATTAGACACGATGAAAAGAGACTAACCCGGTCTTCAAGACACTCCGTCCAGTTCGAGGTCAAAGAGTCGTTCAACTGGGTCTTCTAGTTTGCGCCTCCTGGTGCTGTTTGATACTCATTATACCTTATCATCCATTCTTTTCTTATTTATCTGCCTGATGTCAATGTTTCGTCGTGATCCGCTGGAGAGATTCATATAGATGGGAGGCATGCCAATCCATCGAAGCAAACGAATAAGACCTATTCAGAACGAACCTCTTTTGACATCATTGGCTCGTCTAGCTCAAGTAAGAAAGGCCAAAAGCTTGTCGACACAATGAACGGCTTATAGACATCGAGAACAGCTTTGGGAAAGCTAGCACGAGACTTTCCTGCAAGCTTTCGTCAGCTGTGCGGGATGTGACTGCTGAGCACAGGGTGCAATATAAATGCGTACTATTGTCCACCCGTGACCTCGGCTATTTTGACGAGACACGCCAGGGTGGTTGCCATTGGGACCAGTCGGCTGGACGATGTATTTCCAATGAGCAGTACACCGTTCTGATGATACCGTTTAAGATGGGCTTGTTAGACGGTGGGATCCAGAATCTCGGGGGGCTTCTTCCATATTTCCTAGAATGGCTTCAAGGGCACAGGCTCTCCGAGCCTCTACCTCACCTTATCTTGCATCGCGAGGCGGGGAAAAGGGGGGAGCTTGGTTTCACCCGCCTCGCCTGCTCTATCAATCTCGTTCTTCCCCCCACGTATGCGTGATGCCATACCATATCGCCCGCGAAGTCGTCATCAGATACACTCTTCCGTGTCGTGCCTAAGCGTGACTGCCGCCTTCCCAGCTCTCGAAGCCGCCCCAAAGACTACCACGCGGACGATGACACCACCCGTAGTGAGCTCTTTGAGCTGGAATATTGGTGGAAATATACGAGCCTGTCGACCGAGGAGCTATCAGTACCCTGGGCCTTGGGGGGGAGAGCTCGATGCCGGAGTAGTTGGGGGTGTCTTTCTGCGACCACACCCTTTCGTTCCCCTTTATTACGAACTGGCGGTGTATATCGATGCTTGCATGTGGTAGCGTCTGATGCGTCGTGACCTTGGATCTCTCTTTGATGGTAAGGTCGTGTTCAGGAACTTAACTTGAAGGCCAGGATGACCTTGTGGGAATGATTTGCTATGTAGCCGGTGATGGCATCGTAGCGGTAGGTAGCGTTTCGGTAACCGGATGAATAAGTCGTTGACGGTCCAGGTGGTCATGGGGGATGGTATTGTAGTAGGTGCCCACCCCCTCCTCGCTTGTCTCCGGGGCGTGGAGGGGAGGTGGAGGGTTCGGAGACTTGCAAGGGAGAGACGGGTGATGTCTCGGTCCGGCTAAGGTATTATCGGGACACGGTATGTGGCTTTTGGCGTGCTTTGGGCTTGATAATCCGCCTTCGGAAGCTGTATTGATGGGTGTAGGGGTTCAGACTCGTGCAAATGCGTGATGGGTGATGGTGATGGCTTCATTTACACGTCTGACTACACTAGCTGATCCAAACCTGGAACTTTCCTGATGGACAGCATCGTATTTCTTATGACTACCGAGAAGCAGCAGAATCATGGTGCGAATTGTATGAGTATTCGTTGATGGGAGAAAAATGGACTGATGTGAAGCCTTGCTATGCCCCAGGACTGGTGGCGTTGAGAACCTGCTTGACGATCTCACTCAAGACGACTCAATTTTCAAGATTGTCGGCACTTCGTGCCGTCGTACTGCGGCATTGCGATCCGTCTCAAAATTTTATGTCAACATAAGTGCAGAGGTAAAGGACCTCTGAAGGAAAATCCTCCGTTCAAGAAGCGTTCCTTCTTGGACTGATGTTTCTTTCCCATAGCAGGGAACCCCTCGTGCCCCTCCACGCAACGATCCGCCCAGACTTTGTTTGCGTGGGCCAGTGTCCTCGGCTGACTAAGTCGGGACAAGACCAAGGACGTCGAGCTGGCAGGCACGCAGTACATATGAAAAGGGGGTGGGGCTTTCTCGAGCTGTCAAAGTGGGGCCGTGTTCAGCGACGTTTCCAGTGCATCAAAGTCTTCCGGGGCTTCTACGAATAGCAGTCTAGCGGGGTGCTTTTCTTCTTTTCTGGGGAGGATTGCCGGGGCCATCCTGTATGAATCCCGCCGCGATTCGTGAATTGATTCGATCATCGCCACGCGTCGACTTCTCCTTTTCCCAGTCGCGACAAGACATCATTATTTCGTTTCGTAGCAATTCTTTGCAGGCGTCTGACAGCTGGTGTGCGCTAATCGACGGCTTTCTCTACAACTATCTTAATTAGGGTTCCTTTTTCCGGAGGTTCTGCGACACCATCTCGTCTCTGCCGGTGATCTTTGGTACGATTAGACGAGGCTCTGTTATAACCTATTAATCCATCCCCAAACGAAGCTACCGACGACGATCGCGCGCGAGCTCCCGAAGAGCCACTCACACGCCCACATACCAGACACTGGCATACGCAAGCTCGCCCACCTTGCAAGTTTGGTCGGGATTGCGGCACTGATCCATTCCGGAGGGGCCCCCAGGGGAAGTGGGAAATCAGGTAAGGGATACAGACACGGGGCTGCAGGGGAATGGCAGCAGCCCGGGCTAGCCAAGCACCAGCAGCATGGCTCCGCCTTACAGCAACGGCAATGGCTACGCCTACAAGGGGGCCAAGAAGCCTGCATCCGCGTCTGCATCTCTCCCGTTCCAACATTACTACAATGACGACAGCTTCCGCGCCCGTTTGAGACCGTTGCTCGCGGCCCTACGACGACTACTAAGAACACTTTGGGCCTTTTGGCAAACCCGCGGCCGACGACTGGCGACCGGCATCATGTGGCAGGCCGGCAGGCGGTTGAGGCAGAATCTCACTGCGCGCCGCCTCCTAAGCTTCCCGCACCTGCTGGTGTGTCTCTGGGGCATCGTGCTCCTCTGGGGCGAGGGCTGGGTCTTTAAGAGTCGAGTCGCAGAATGCAAATGGAGCAACTGGGAGAACTGGGTAGGTCAATTGCTGCGCGCTGTTGCTATGAATCGACAATGCTGATTATTTGATAGCCGGCAGGATCGAGCCCGCACCACCTCGTCTTCGTCGCTGACCCTCAAATCACCGATCCGAAATCCTACCCTGGCCGTCCGTGGCCCTTGGAAGACCTGACGGTCCTCATCACCGACAACTACATCCGCAGAGGCTACAGGCAGCTCCAATCGCAGCTGCGACCCGACTCCCTCTTCTTCTTGGGCGACCTCTTCGACGGTGGGCGAGAGTGGAAGACTGCGCACAGCGACTTCAAGGACCCTCAATGGGCTGTCAACCGACGACCAAAGAACGAGAAAGACCATGTTAAGGGATGGAACGATAATTATGGCCAGAAATACTGGTTGAAGGAATATGAGCGCTTTGGCGATATCTTTTTTGGAAGCTGGGGGCTAGGCGGCTCTAAAGCCGGCGACTGGCAGAGAGGGCGCAAGTTGGTGGCGAGCTTGCCAGGGAACCATGACCTTGGCTTTGGAGACCAGGTCAAGGGGTCTGTGAGAGATCGCTTCAACACGTACTTTGGGGACGTAAACCGTGTCGATGTTATCGGCAACCACTCCATCGTCTCTGTCGATACCTTGTCGCTGAGTGCTGTTTCGTCGAAGCAAGGCGAGGTCGATTTGAAGGCAATCCATACACCTGCGGACGTGTTCCTGAAGGACGTTCAGTTTACCAAGAGGAAGGCCGTGGAGCGAGAGTTGCGCTTCTGGAGGGGCGAAGTGGAAGTGGAGCCCCTGGATCATATCGTGGAGGAGCTGGAAACAGCAGACGCCAAGGTGCCGACTATTGCGCCGGGTGAAGAAGGCCCCGACTTTCCTACAATTCTTCTCACCCATGTTCCTCTATACCGAGACCCGGGCACGCCTTGCGGACCTCAGCGAGAGCACTGGCCTCCTACGAAACCACCAAAGGGGGAGCAAGCGCCTATGATGGATCACCGAAATGCAATCTCTGTCTCGGGTGGTTACCAGTACCAGAACGTGCTGAACGAGGACGAGTCTGTCAAGCTCGTGAAGAGCGTTGGCAACATTGTTGGAGTGTTCTCCGGGGATGACCACGACTACTGCGAAGTCGTCCACTCCGCAGAAAAGGACAACGTTCGCGAAATCACCGTCAAGAGTATGAGTATGGCCATGGGAGTACCCACACCTGGCTTCCTCATGGTCAGTTTGTACAACCCGATCGACGCCAACGGCAAACCTCTTCCTGGCGCACCTGAAAAGACATTGCAAACACACCTTTGCCTGCTTCCGAACCAGCTGGCGACATACGCGAAGTATGCCGGGCTTGCCTTTGTCACCATCGTTGCGATTAGCATAAGATCGTTCCTCGTTCCAGTCCTGAACTTGACACCCTTTGCTCTGCATGACGAACAGCCGCAGGGCGCCATATTGCCGACCATCAAGGACAAGGTCGAGGATGATGGCACTTACAGCATGCACTCGACATCAGCCTCTTCCGGATCTCGATTCCTTACCGGCCAGTCATCCCGGACTAGGAGCGGATCCATCCGTTCCAACGGGACTACTCCCGTGCCGCCGCCAAGAACCAAGTTGAAGAAGCAGTGGGGAGCACCACACCGTGCGCCGCGGATCGAAATTTTCGCAGACGAATATGGGACTGGGATGCCGCGTTTGACATGGAAGGCGGCCTCTCAGCGGTCTAGGACGACAATCGGGCGTGTTGCCCGCGAGATTGGCGCCTCGACTTGGAGGGTTGTGTGGATGGTTGTCTTGTTTTGGGCCTATCTTGCATATAAGGGATAGAAGGGCCGCGGTCTGCTCCGCCTCTTCAGCGTGTACAATTATCGGAACATGGGGCGGGATTCGAAAAGAAGGGGTCCCCATCAGCATTCAGCGGGTTTGCATTGGTTTGGCTGTTTGACTGGAGGATGCTGGAGAGTCCTTTGGGTTACATAAAAAAAAGGTCCATCGTCTTTTTTCATTTGTGTATCATAGTCCGAGACGACGGGCCAAAGAGTACTGTATTGATGGTCCAGCTTTTGATGGATGGTTTGAAATAAATAGGCTTTGAGGAATCAGATGCCCAATTCCCTATGCCGATCGAATCAGTTACTGCGTCTTCGGCTCTGTGTCTTTGACATTCTGGCAGCTTCGACTGTACGGGTATAGATCCCTCAGGGGGCTAACTTCTCCTTCATCTTGGCTTTCCCAACAAACTTGGGGCGGGTCTGATTAGGCTGGCTGTTAAGAGCTTTACTACTTCGACTCTCCCTGCATGGTAACAACAGATTTTCTCATGATCATGGAGGCAAATCGGGATTGGGAAAGACGAATGCCCAGCAGACATGACCGATCTGTCATCGAATCGATTGAGTTTCGAATTTCACTCACAGCACCAAGTAGAGTTATGACACATGCCGGCCTCCCCATTTTTAGCCAATTTATGTATCGTTAGGCCTTTGCAATGTATTCGAGATTGAGTGGCTGCCTTATGAGGTAGAGTCCTTGAATGGGAACGCAGTCAGTTGCACGCCGTACTTGAGAGCAATCCCAGAGATAGCACCAACCCAGGCAGTGCCTGTGTCAGATTCAACATCATCGCAGATGCCTTAGGTGCTTTTGTGTCGGCCAGGGTCGGAAGGCACGATGTTGGCATAAGGAAGGAAGTAGCACTCGCGGTTCCCAGTTCAGGGTCCTTCTTGCCCTTTCTACAATTCACCAAGCCTTCCCGAAAAGTCGACTGATATCTTTCCCCTCTCCCCCCTCTTCAACTGAATTGTTCGAGAGCTGCACGTAATCTTTACGTCTGACATCAAGTCATCCAAGTTCCAATCATCCCGGCCTGCCAACGTCTGGTATTAACCTACGTACGTCTTCCAATCTCTAAATTCCTATTTCTTCACTTGCTGACAAGACCTAGAGTCTACTGCTCCATCACTTTGCTGTCTCAGAGCTGCCAAACCATGCCTCCGCCCGTCAATCTCCCAACTCCAGCTGCCGGCGACATCTTCACCCACAGCGGGAGCTTGAAGGTTACCAACGCTGCAGCGAACATCTTCGTTGTGTACAACTTCGATGCAAAGAAGGCGAACCGATGCCCTTCTAGTCTCACTGTAGACTTTGTCATGGGAAACGTCTATCTCATCGACGCTTCGCTTTGCAGTTACTGGGAGACCAACCGTGTCTTTGGTAATCTCGTCAAAGGACTCGGACTCCCTTTCGAAGGCTGGTTTGAAGGCGACAACTCTATCGACACGGTATACGATGACATCGTATGTGCTATCGATGGACAACTGCCCACGTGCTGCTCAATCGGCACCATTGCTGGCAATTTGATCACCGTTGCCGACCTCACTACTCCTGGTGGGAACGAGCAAACCCAGCCTCCCAGTGTCACAACCAGCTACGTCTATGGATGCCGCCTCCTCGAATCCCATATCTCATACGGCGGTGGCCTTCACAGAGCACGCTCTGCCTGGGCCTCGATGACATTCGCTCCTGTATGGCCAGCCAGCTTGCCCACAAACGGGATATCTCACCCCACCCAGATGGGTACTTCCGGCACCGGCCATACCCTTAAGACGAGCGTCATGGATTGCCATGATGCTCCGGAATATCGAAAAGCTGAACAGGAGGAAAAGAAATTGGAACGCGGCGTGGATAACTTGTTCTTGCAGACTATCTCAGGCCAAACAATCGCTACTGCAGAACAAGGATTGCGGCAAGTACCAAGCTCGTACATGCCGCAGACTTCCACCGGCCCAGAAAACCAGCTCGATGGTATCTCTGATTCAAGCTGCGAACGCTTGATATGCGCAAATTGCTGCAGAGGAGGCCACGAAGTCAAGGACTGCATCGGACCGGTGGATATCGACGGCTTCATTGCCGCCTGCCCCATATGCAACGTACGCGGCCATACCTTTACCAGTTGTAGCAAACTGAACGTGTTCAAGAAGACGGCCAAGAGGAACCTGCAATTCTTATATCTCGTCCAGTATCGACAGAACAAGCCCCCTATTCTATCGACTACTTGCTGGATAGCTGTTTGGGCCGCAAAAGACTGCCCCAGAATTCAGCTGCCTCATACGAAGGAGTTTGCCCGGATGATTGGCAAGGGGCTGATTCCAAATTACCCTGACTGGCGAACTTATGACTACTCCGCATCTTTGTCATCACGAGACGCAGCCAATGTCGCCTTGCTTCGGGATCCAAGTACCGAGTATGAATACGGAAGACCATCGAGTCTGTTCCCAGGGACCCAAGGCACTTCCATAGGCCAGGGATACAACGTGGTCAGAGCCAAGATGCAAAGGTTGGGCATCAATCTTTTGCCGAATGCCCCAAACCCGGCAGCGTTGCAGTCGAGGAGGATGAAGAAGCAAGTCAAGCGAGATCAAGTCAAGCGAGATCGCACCAAAGCGGCACTGGTTCAAGGGGATGGCAGCCGCTTTGCAACAGGGGCAAACTGCACCACTGTTCAGAGGTATTTTCCAGCTTTGCCAGCAAAACCGGTCTCCACCAGCCCCACGATCATCAACATCAAGGAAGAAGTCATTGATTAACGTTTGAATCGTCGTCACTTGCGGTCGATCACTTCGATATGTTATCTCCTTATTGTATCATATTCTAGCTCACGGAGGGAACTTTTTTATTGTGGGAATGGGGAGGCGGTAAATAGCGCGAGGGGTGGCTTGGGGATTACCGCCCTTGCCATAAGTTGAATTATGCGTGTGGTTAGATCCGGTTATGACTTAGCTAGAGGATATCAAATATATTGCGCTACTCTCTATGAGGTTTTGATGTTTGCACTCCCAATCATTTGCATGTTCCTGTGCCGTCCACCAGCCATCTTGTCAATTTCGCCAGATTTTCGTAGGCGAAGGGTTCTGCATGTCCCAAAGTAGGCTATGGGTTAAAATCATGATCTTGAGACGAGTAGAATATTGTATCAGAGTGCTTGACAGAGATTCTGAAGACGATCCACGCAGCACATTGGTCTCGTTAAAATGGCACCTTGCGTAAGTTGAAGCTCGAGGTGAACAGTAAAGAATCAGGGAGATAAGGAGCATCCATATGTCCCAAAACAAAACAATTATTTGCATAATCTCATGTGATGAAGAAGGATTAAAGCAGCTAGGGGCTCATGAATGAAGGAGGTCTGTCTTTGCTGGTAGGTGGGGAAAACATGAAGAGGGGCAAAATGTGCGAATCGAGCCCAAAGCCTTTGCAAAGACCTTAAAAAGTGACTCGACCTTGGAGCAGGTCACGTAGCTTCTCTTGATTGCTTGCCCGAAGGTAACATCAGCTGCGTTCTTGGGACATATGTACCCTATTGCAAGTGTGTGAGAGAAAAAGGCGGATCATAGAGCCTTCCAGGTTACGTGATGTGCCTCGCCGCAACTCTGACTCTGGTCCATCCAGGTCTTTTCCAGAGCCTTTCCCTTAACCCTCACACCATGAAGACGACTTGCGTCGGTATGGTTTTGCCGTAACTTCATTGTGACTGGACCCCAGAAGCTGGCAACACGGAGGGGGCACTTGGCATCTGAACTGCCATCATCAACCGCACGATCCTCTGCGTGTTCGCATTCGCTCGGCACGGCAACCGATTCGTCAGCCCCCGTATCTCGGACTGAAAAGACACGCCGATAGCAACTCCAACCCGGGACCACCGTGTGAAACATACCGGCAGGAATAGACAGCTCTCCGCGGTCCCAGTAGTGTGGTCGCTTGCCGAACCCCTCACAACGTTGACTGCGGGAAGGTTCGTGCCCCCTTTCTTCGTCTGATTATCTCAATCGGACCACGATATTTTTTCCAAGCTATGGCCAAGATATTCTCGGCCATTGAAACGTTGCACGAGGGCTTCGGTTCAGGGGTTCGTACTCGGCATGATGAACTTATCCAGGCTGAGCTAGTTGGGTTCATGGACGCGTAGTGCGCGGCTCGAGGGAAAGTCTACTTGAAGTGTTGCTCGTTCGGAAGCTTTTGCATCTGAGGTTGCCTCGTAAGTAGTCAGATCATTTCCTCTTGATTCAAGTTTCTATCTTTCGCCCCGAACCGACTTGAGTCGAAGTGCCGCTTTGGGAACATGGCCATCATCAATATCATGATCCAGGCTTCGTGCCTTGGCTTCGCCTTAGTAAGTATTGTGCTCTTTTATTGACAAGTCTTGTAACTCTATTGAGAATAAAAGCTCTTGCTAGGTTTCTTTTCCTGACTCTGAACAGACTATACTTTACATCGTCTCGTACATCGTCTACAACCTCTTCTTCCACCCCCTTCGCCGCTTCCCCGGCCCGATCCTCATGCGCGCAACCCGCGCAACATTCTGCTACCGACTCTGGTGCGGCACCCTCTCTTTCGACATGCTTGACCTCCACCGTAAGTACGGCGACGTGGTACGCATCGCCCCGGACGAACTGGCGTACGCGGACCCCGCAGCGTGGAAGGAGATCATGGGTCATCGTGCCGGGAGCGTTGCAAGCGGCGGCCAGGCGCCGCTCGAGTTCGAGAAGTCGGAGACGTTTTACAGGCCGATTGCAGAAATACCGAGGGATATCATCACGGCACCCGGAGCTGAGCACGCTATGCTGAGGAGGACTTTGAGTCATGGGTTCAGCGATCGAAGTTTGAGGGACCAGCAGCCCGTGATTATGAAGTATGTCGACATCTTTGTTTCCAAGCTGCGGGATCTAGCAGAGGTTCCGGCGTGGAAAGGGTACCAAGATGAAGAGGGCGACGATGATTCCTCGGCGACGGACCTTGGTGAAAAGGGGACGAAAGAGCTCGGGGAGCCGGTGAACCTGACGCTCTGGTACAACTACTGCACCTTTGACATCATCGGAGACCTGGCCTTTGGGGAGCCGTTTGGGTGCTTGGATGGAGGGGACCTGCACCCCTGGGTGAGGACGATCTTCCAAATGATCCGGCTGGGCGTGGCGCTGCAGACGGCGAACCACTTTTCGATACTGAGCCGGTTCATCACGGCGGTGATGTCGACTAAGGCGATGAGAAACAGGCGGCTTGAGCACCAGGCTATGACTATGGATAAGTTGAAGAGGAGGATTGCGTTAGCGGAGAGGGAAGGGCCGAGGGCGGATTTGATGGAGGGGTTGTTGAAGAAGAGGGAGGAGTGGGTGAGTGTAGCCCCTTTCCCATTACCATTTGTATCAGATGATAACTTGGGCGCAGAACCTTTCGCTGCAACAGCTCGAGGGCAACGCGAGCATCATCATTATCGCTGGGTCAGAGACCACGGCGACACTGCTTTCGGGCGTGACGTATCTCCTTTTAAAGAACCCTGAAAAGATGACGAAGCTGGTGAACGAAGTTAGAACGACGTTTGACAAGGAATCAGACGTTGATCTTACGTCTGTGAATAAACTGACGTACATGCTCGCGTGCCTGGACGAAGCGCTGCGGTTGTACCCGCCTGTGCCGACGGGTCTTCCTAGGACGGTGCCAGCGGGCGGGGCTACGGTTCGCGGGGAGTTTCTTCCAGGAAAGGTGAGATTTTTTGCTTGGATTCTATCCTCTGCCTTGAATGAGTTGTCTTCAGGTAGAGGCGAGCGGGAGGGTATTCCAATCTTTGTCGGAGTATTCCAGCTAATTCGAGATCTCTCACCTCCGTAGACGACTGTTGCTGTCCATCAGTGGGCCATGTACCACAACGAGGCCAACTTCAAGAACCCCTTTCTCTTCCACCCGGAGAGGTTCTTAGGAGATCCGGAGTATGCCTCTGATCGCAGGGAGGCGTTTCAGCCGTTCCACATTGGACCTCGGAGTTGCTTAGGACGAAAGTGAGTTTCTACGAAATAACCCAGCTTCACCTACCCGCTAATTCGGCACCATAGCCTCGCGTACGTGGAGATGCGGATCATGCTAGCGAGAATGCTTTGGAACTTTGACCTTGTTCTGGCGGATGAGAGCAAGGCTTGGATGGAGACTCAGAAGATTTACACACTTTGGGAAAAGGGGCCATTGAATGTTTACTTGAAGCCTGTCATACGTGACTGAGACTTGGGAGGAGAAACTTCTCAGCTCAGTATTCAAGATTTTGGATGACGCACCACCTTCTTTCCAAGTCAAGACTGATGGATTCAGCTCTACGAATGACCTCGGTAACACCAAACTACCTTGACTAGAGTAGGCTTTTCCGCTTCAGTTCTTCCACAGCAGAAATTAAAACTAAGAGCTCGATAGGATTAGCATGATATCTCATAGTTCCCTCGAGAGTACCAAATTACGGGGCGTCTTTCGGAGGCCTACTTTGCAGTTGTGTCCTGTTTACCTTTGCACCCTTGTTTGAAGTAAATGGAATGCCGGGCACCTCCCACTCTTTGTACTTTCCCTGGATTCTTCATACAAGGACCTGCATTATGTACATGACCGACCGTCTCAGCTATGAAGCTTGGAAATAACTACTTCTAGCCGGTTTCTTTGCCTCAACAAAGCTTTCGGAGGATCCATCAGGCCACGGACGGCCAGATGATCCGCTAGAGGCACTGATGACATCGCCATGTAATGGTTGCAAACCGACCTTCCGGTACGCTCCCCAAAGGCTTTTGGACACAGCCAGAGACTCATCGTTGTCTTCGTCGTTGTTCGCCTTTAACCAGCCCTTGAACTGGTCGTTCAGCAGGCCGGGGAGTGATTCAATAGCCCCTCCCGTGATCATCTCACCCACCCAGAGGAGCATGGCCGTGTAGTAGCGCTTTGTCAAATTCATTATCCGAGTGTTTGTCAGCTCTTCAGTGGGGAAAGCGAGTATGGCTGAGCGGTGAGTCGATGTGACGGAGATGCCGAAACAGACCTCGTGGCTCTGGGGATGCACTAGCCCAGCGCTTTCCGCGATCTGAGAACCCTCAGGCCATGAGATGTGCGATAGCATCTCAGCAGCGTAGCCGAATGGTAATGGAACGCTCCAGTTTTCGATGTCATGGGCCTCTTGAAATGTTTTGAGATACGGGTTGTACAATGTCCGTGGCGCGCGCTGTCGCCCGTATGCTTCAATGACTAGGTGATCGAGGAAGCGGGTAATGGTGTTGTTCGCATAGGTGAATAGAATTTGGGTTTCAGTTTCCAGACGCACCCAGTCTACAAATGGCGGTTGATTCCAAGCGTCCCGAGGATCGATTTGGCCAAGAAAAAGGTATGTGGAGGGAGTGACCTCGGACGTTGTATCGAAACCTTCGACATGTCAGCAGGAATACATGTTGGAAATAACGAATTCTGCCCACCGAGCTGTCTCCGCAGCGCATTCATAAGTCTGAATAGAGTCATATCCCAATTGAGAACGGGACCCTCATCCGACATGGACGGCCTCGTCTGCTGGAAGAATTCAACAATCAACCTATCGATAATGTGGCCCTCCTTGGGGCGAGTGCGGAGTTTCTTTGCATCCCAGTAGAAAAACAGAAAAGCCTCCTTCCAATCAATCCGGCCAGTGTCCATCGCCATAACGCTTCTTCGGGCGGCGGACGTGGTGGAGCTCACATTCGGCTTTTGCGTCATGATTGCTAGCGGAGTTTGAGATCGAGAAGTGCGCGCTTGTGCAGGTAGGAAGTTGGAGAACATTTTGTTGTTTTTCGCAAGGCGCGCCAGCCTGACGGGAGGGGCATAAGTACTCCTCTTTCGCCGACTAAGTCCGAGATGATTATCGAAGGATTAAATAGTTCTAGAAGCGGTATAAGCGGGTTCAGCGTCCGAAGGAATGCTGCTTGTTGGAACCAACACGAAAGCGTCCAAATCAGGCAGCCGAAGTGATCCACTCTCAGACAAGTCCCAAATCAGCCAATTAACAAAGAGCAGACTGTCTATCATTCGGCAAACAAACAATCAAGCAAACACTTGGCATCATCAGATGCCACCCAAACGTTGGCCCCCCATTCGAGATAACAAGCCCGTTTGCTCCACTGATCCAGGGGGTTGGGTAAACCGCGTAAACGATGAATAGCCTGCTTGCCGCATCGCGATTTGACCAATGGTTTATATCCCCCGCAGGCGGGCCCAGAACCTTGGAGTTGGATGAGACTGGACCCTCTACGCGCCTCCTCAAATCCGCTTTATTCCTTCTTTTTGACCATAATTAAGGCCCCTGCAACGCCGGTGGTGATGATTTCCTTCCCTGGCTCCATCCCTGCTTCGTGGAGCAAACTCGCGATCTTCCCAACGGCCATTTTGACTACATCACGATCCGTTCCGACATCGTCGGGGTGCGCCTCACGCCACCGCGTCACCGGGCTGACCGTCTCTAGGAACCTTTCGACGTGATCTAGACCCAGCTGCTGCTGACCCAAGAAGAACTCCCCGTCCGGTCCGACTGTGCCGTCCTTATTCCAGTCTTTGCGCAGGAAAGCGCTCTCGTCGAATTCCGCCACCGGCGTTTCGAGGTCCCATGGCATCGGTAATGTCTCGTACATCTTCTCCGCTATGATGTTACCCGGCGTCATGTACGGCTGGATATACTCGTCACGGAAATCGTGTAGGATCTGCTGCATGCCCGCCGCGTTGGGCATGGATGGGTGAATGTACTTTGAGCTGCTCGTCCAGATGGCGACAGAACCGCCCGGCTTGAGCACCCGGGCGGCAGCGGCCCAGAAACCGGGCATATCGAACCAGTGCGCCGCAGTAGCGGCCGTAATGAGGTCGACGCTAGCATCGGCGACGGGTGGGGAGAGGTTCGACCCGAGCTCCTCCGCGGTGGAGACCTCGAAGCGGATCGGCTCCGGCGCTGATGTGGCCCCGCCCAGGGCTCGGGCAGCGTCGATCATGCCCACGCTCGGGTCCAGGGCGATGGTCCGTGTAAAGCGCGGGCTGAGCTCACGGGCAACGGTGCCGGGGCCGCAGCCGATGTCGAGAAGGGAGTCTGTTTGGCCGCCTGTTGAGACGTGGTGGTCGTAAATGTAGTTATAGATCCTTTGATGGTAGCCCAGCCTGCCTTTGGCGTAGGTAGCGCCTTGCTCCTTTGTGTAGGCACGGAAGGTTTTCTCAACCGGGGCGGGAGTTGGGACGGTTGCGACGTCGGCCATTGTCTCTGAATTTTAGTGGCGAATTCTCCAAAGCTGGTATGAATTATAAAGAAATAGGATAAGGTGCTTATCTATACTCTTCCACATAATATGCCAGTGTTTGTCACAAAATAAACAGCGGGAATTCGATGTGGCCAGCCTGATCTTTATAACTCACATGCGCTCAAGCCGAACTCAACATCTGAGGAGGGCGTTTGACGAACGAGCACCAAAGTCTGCCATGATTGGCGAAGGGCTACCGAGAACGGCCCACCAACATCTTTCCAAAGAGGGATAACCAAGTCCAACAGAGCCAATCAAAGAACCGAAACATCTCACACTAATCCCGATCAAGGCGACGACTGCGAAGCTGATGCTGTCCCCGCCGACCCGCTGCTGGTCGATGACCTTTTGGTGGCTTGTAAGCCGTCTCGAATCCTTAAGAATCCCGTGTCCGTGTCCGATCCCCCTTGAAAATCGAGTCTGACAGTAACCGCCGTCGGAATTTCGACATTTAGTCCAGTCAACCCCTCGGCTGGAACACCCTTTTCGTTGGTAGTTGACGAAGCTGACACGAGGGTGTTTGCTTGCCTAGAAGCCCTCTCATCTTACCTTACCTTAGACCCGGGACCCGGACCCCGGAGTTGTCTTCTTAAGCCGAAGTCCTTCACTGCAGCATGGTTTACTATGGCGCGCTGAGCAAGGGTTGCCAGCGCTGCCGTCAACGCAAAGTCAAGGCACGTGTTTTTGAAACCCCATGACCTCCTTCTTCTTGTAAGTTCTACTTCTAACACGTATTTGAAAAAGTGCGATCAACGCAAACCGGGATGTCTCAAGTGCGAGAAAGGACAGAAGCCTTGTCCCGGCTGTCGGAACTTGACAGACCTTGTCTTTCGGGACGAGCGCCAGCGAATCAAAAAGAAGTGTGCAGGCGAAGCTGAGAGGTCGTCAAAGCTGAGAAATCTGCCAATCAACTACGCGTTGTGCCTCAACATTGAAGATAGGGCGGCCACCTTTTTCTTCACCCACTACACCACTACTGGGCCACCGTTCTGTGACTCGTACCAATCATGGCTTGCCAAGACATATCAAGAAGAATCTCCTAACAATCTTGTCCGACATAGCATCCAAGCAGTCGGCATGGCTGCTATCTCAAATATCTCTAACGCCCCCAAAATCGTGCTGCGGGCCAAGGAGCGGTATGGACAAGCACTAAAAGCTACTAATGTGGCTCTGTATGACCCTGCTCAAGCCACGGCAGATACAACTCTCATGGCAATTCTTCTCCTTGGGCTATTTGTTGTATGGTTCGAATCCTTTCTCCTTCAATAGCCGCAACTAACTTAGACAGACGATAATGTTTGAAAGTTGGAATGATAGCCATGCGTGGACGGCACATATTGAGGGCGCGACGGCCCTTTTGCACCTTCGTGGCAAGAGCCAATTCACTAGAGAGCTGGGAATACAGCTCTACATACAATTCAGACAGCAAATTGTAAGTCCAAACGTTAATCTATTTAAAGGACCCTACTAAGCTGGTTCCTCGCAGCTCCAAGCCTGTATGCAACGAGGTGTTCCCGTACCTGCAGCCCTTGTCGAGATAACCATGCAATTCGAAGCCAGCCGTCAAGGAACACAGTACAATAGTCTGCGTCCAGGATCATTAGCAGTTCTAGGCTTCAGACTCGTTAATCTTTCTGCAGCCATGAACAGACAACAAATAACGGACGCCAACGCAATCTGCCGGATAGCTGTTGATATTGACAGTGATCTCAACGCCTGGGCGTCAAGATCATCACAATCTGATCGGAAGTTCCACGAGGTTGAAGCAGACGCATCCGGGAAAGAAGAGAGTTTCAATGGGAGACGACATGTGTATAACAGTGTTTGGGGAGCACAAGTGTGGAATAACTGGCGGTCGTTGAGCATAGTGACAAACCGTATTATTCTCAACTACTTGGATAAGCAGAGCTTCGAGAGCGATGCACTCAAAGATATAATGCGGTTCCACAGCATATCGGTTATCCAGAGTCTTTCTGCCGATATATGTATATCTACGCCTAGTCTATTTGGTTCCCCGCGTCAGTACCAATCGCAACTCCCTTTGATATGGACACAGGAGCTAATAACAACCCTAGGAGCCCCTTCAATGATCTGGCCGTTGCACATCGTCTCCCAAGAAGTACTAAACGTACCAAATGTACGATCTTGGGCAGTCGAGCAGTTAGTAGGGATCAATAAGTCGATGGGCATAAAGCAAGCTGCTGTTCTGGCAAACACTATGGGCTGAAATTGCTGATTATGGGGACACCCACTTTGTCATGGCGATAGATAAGTTTGCCTTCCATTCTATCAACATTGTTTTGAATCATAGATGCTATTGCAATGATGGACCTATTCATAGTTCTGAGTTGCAACTTCCCACATTGAGTCACCAGGTTGATCAATGCTAAGAAATTTGGACCTGATGCAGTATACATATCCAAAAGCTCATTGAAAAGTGTTCTAGGCTTCAAGCGCGGTAACTAGACTGTCGCAGGCTGTAAGGTTTATGGGTGCAGAAGCTTTGATGAACGAAACAGTCTGTAATACCGACAATTCATGCTGTGGACGATGAGGTAAGCCAACATTTCAGTTAGCGCCGGGAGGCATAGATCCTAGCTCATCTAGCCAAGCATATTGCCGTTGATGTGCATACATTATCATTCGTGGTCGAAGATGTCGTTTGTTTGACCGCTAATTCGATATGATGAGGAAGATGTTCTGCGCGCATTGACTGTCAATCCCCAAAAATACCCCTCACAATTGACGGCTTCGAAGGAGCATGGGCATAAACTCTAAAGAACGATACAATGAAAGCCTTACTCGTCACCTCCGTCGAATGAACGAATTTCTAAACGCCTAGGTTTTCCGGCGTGATCCCAAATGGGGTATGTAAACATGTTGCCCTTTTGGGACGGCCCGTGAAGCATTATGTGCTCGGCAAGAACGGAGACACATATAAACTCCACGCCCGGACTTTTCATGGGGGCGAGAGACAAGCTATCACTGATCAATTTCAGATGAACTAATAAGCCAATTAGACCTTTCTATCAAGCCCTTTGTTGATTTCGAACCCAAACAAGATGGGATACACGACGATGTGGTCGCCGGCGGCAGTCTTGCCGCTGCTATTCAAGCTTTTCGTCGTTTTGTTAGCGACTGGACTCATGAGAGTTGGCTGGAAGGCTTATACGATCAGGAAAAAGTTCAAAGAAGTAAAAGCGTTGGGAATCGTACGTGTACAACAGTTAATGATCCAATCAACCAAGCTGACCGTCGCTCATAGCCAATGCTCCCTCACTCTTGGATCATGGGTCATCTTCCCATCATGTTTGAGTTCCGCAAAGAGTATCCAGGAGACATCAATATTGGCAACTTCCACCCATGGATCATCAACAACTATCAGAGGTACTTTCCGGAAATGGACCACTGCCCTCCAGTCATTTATCTGGATCTCTGGCCTGTGTTAAAGGCACCCATCGTGGCTGCGTACAAAAACACCGTTGCGGCGCAGTTCACCCAGACAAAGAATCTTGACAAGCATCAGATCTCCCTCGACTTCATGAACCCGTTGACCAAGGGTTTAGACATCGCTACCCTTCAAGGCGATGAGTGGAAGAAATGGCGAGGCTGGTTCAACCCCGGTTTCAGCTCGAGAAATGTTTCATCCATGGTTCCTGATCTCATTGAAGAGATCAAGGACTTTGCGGATAATTTGCAACAAAAGACCGGTCCTAATGGATCGTGGGGTCGCATGTTCCAGCTACGCAACATGACGACGGCTCTCACTTTTGACATCATTGTCCGTGCAGTCTTGTAAGCGAGCTGATTTGTCTTGTTTGAGAATATTCAGGACTAATAGAAAATTACCAGGGACGAGCGTCTTCATGAGCAGACAAATACAACTGCTGGCCCTCTCAGAGTGGCACTTGCTGACCAGCTGAGACTCATGGGCATAAGACAGGCCTTCAGTCTCGGCTACTTGTTCCCATGGCAGAACAAAGCCGTGGATCGTAACAATCGCATTGTCCAACACCAGCTTCAACCGAATATTGTCCGATCTCTAGAAACTGGTCTCAAACCATCAAAGAAGAAGACGGTGCTCAATCTCGCTTTAATGCACTTAGCAGAAGAGGCAGGTGGGCGCCCGATTGATCCAACTACCGACCCGGTTATGATGGACACCATCTTGGGCAACCTAAAGACCTTCCTCGTTGCGGGACACGAGACGACTGCAAGTGCGCTGTGCTTCATGTTCAAGGTTCTCCAGGACAATCCAGACTGCATGGCCAAGGCCCGCGCCGAACACGACGAGGTTCTGGGTCTGGATCCCGACCAAGCTGCTGATATTCTGAGCAAGTCACCTCAGCTCCTCGGCTCCCTTCGGTATACACACGCCGTAATCAAGGAGACTCTCCGTCTGTATCAAATTGCCTCCACCATGCGAGGAGGGGAGCCGGGATTCTATCTCAGTGATGCTACTACTGGTCTGCAGTATCCTACAGAAGGCTTCCTTGTGTGGGATGGCGGCCCGGGCATGCAGCATGACCCGTCCCTGTGGCCGCACGCTGATAAGTTCATCCCGGACCGCTGGCTTGTTCCCGCAGAAGACCCGCTTCACCCCGTCAAAGACGCTTGGCGGGCATTTGCAAGAGGTCCTCGGGATTGCATCGGTCAAGAGATTGCTCTGATTGAGATCAAGCTGGTCGCTGCCTTGATTATGAGGAAGTACGATGTTGAAGAGGCCTGGGATGAGTGGGATGCTCTCCAGTAAGTTTATCCATACACTGGGCATAACAATCCCTTTGTTATCACACTATGCTGACCGCATTATGTTGTGCAGAGGACCCAAAGCCAAAAAAGACATGGTCAGGGGACAAAGGTTATATGTGGCTGGAGACGGCATCGGGCATCCCAAAGAAGGCATGCCAGTTCGCGTGCGCCTTCGACAAAAATGAAACATGAGCCTGACCTTCGAGGTTTCATTATTGTAATCTCTCTTATCAGGTTCACCTCTATCGATTATCTTGGCTTATCTTGGCTATATCAAAATCATCACGTATACGAAAGTACAGAGTGACCACGGTCTGTTGAACACTTTCCCACATACACTACATAGGAGTTGACTGTAATCAACTCAAGATCATTGATGTTGCTCAATTATAAATGCTGATATGATGTACGGAAACATGCAAATTGTATTGCTCTACACTTGGTTTATTGGACTTATGGCCAGAAGGTCAAACCCTGAACGCCCCATGCTGCATGTCGCTAGTCATCGGTACCAGCTGCTCGCTTACTCCCGAATCGCGTCTAAGAAGCATAGTAATGAGTGTTGAGAATCTCAATTATTCTAAATATTTCGAGAGAAGTTGGCCCTGATCTGATCCGCCTGCTCCTCCATCTCCTCTGTTGTTAAGAGCCTCTTCGAGGCGCTGTCACGATCGGCATTTCTCCAAAAGAAATCTCTGTAGAACAGAAGCGGCAGTATACTGCCCTTCCATACAGCTAATTCTTCTCGGTAAACAACTGTTAGACTTATCATCCATGAAAGGGCTACGACTTCAAGGATGAGCAGTATGGCAGGGAAGATGAGCCAATATGGTTTGACGGCTATGAAAGTGACGAGTTGAAGGGATTCGCCGTTGACTACCGATGTGGTGCCGTCCTTTCTTCCCATGCCGAATCTCATTTGATTGGTCAAAGCAGTCGCAAACTCCGTAAATTGTTGCTTTAGGCTGGCAGGTGTCGATTCTCCGTTTGACCAGAGCCTTGAAAGCCAGATGGCACTCCCACAGTTGATCGAGTTCGGCTGTGTGGAGTCCCAACTGCAAGTGCCATTGAAGAGTTCTTCTGAGAAATACTGTGACATCAGGAGCTTGAAACTGTTTTCAGTGCGGTAGATACACTCTTCGGGAGCCTGAAATGCAGAGTCAATATATGAAGTTCTCCCCGCTTTTGCGTGTCGTACCGTGGAGAGTTCTGTGCCTTGTGAAAGGTTTTCTTCGGTATATACCTTCCCTTTGATGAGGCAAGGCAGCTGTACTGCAGATAGATTCCAAGCTTGTCTGGGCCCTGGAGACTTCTTATCGCGAATATCGTAACTCATCGGGGTCTCCGTAATGGGAGTCTCGGATAGCACTCCTCGACTGATGATTGCCGAGTATGTCCGAATACAAGGGTAAAGCGAGCAAGTGACGGCTATGGCGTGTTTGGGTTTGTTTTGATTGATGTTGCCGTCAAGTACCGTGCTCGTCAAGACAGTGACATTCGCAAATGAGACCGAAGCCCGTTCAAGCGTCTCTAGCGGTATTATACCATTGGTCCACGACAGATCGCCTGATATAACCCTCATCCCTCCTTCTCTGCCCGTATTGATGATTGAAATTCCGTTTGCCAAACTATAATTAATGGCCTGAAGATTGTCGATCAAGCCCCGATGATCGATAATTTCTCCAATATCAGTGCAGATATTGCAAATGCCGGCGGAAGCATGAGTAACGTCGAACCCAGCTTTGACGGAGGTGTTTGAGCCAAGACCGATGAAAGTACAGTTTCCTGTTGGACAGGTCGGCACAATAACCGAACCAGTACCGTTGCGGCTCAAGGCGAGGGTCTGAATTGCACCCTTGATGTCTGACCTCAAAGCCATGCCTTCGTTGTCACCCGTAAGTATTTTGGTGTTCAGGCCGTCAACATGTCGCGTCACTGGGATTATTCCAGTGCCGAGGCCGAGAGTTTCGTTTTTGTCGACATGCCCAATGGATTGCTGAACGAAGGGCCCAATCGCAAAGGACGACACGAGTACAACCACAGCGACGAGGATCGATGGGCTGCGCCAAGTGACAATTCTCATTAACTTCAGCGCCCCCCAAACGCCACGAGTACCGTCATCGAAATGCTGTAGGTTGCCCATCCGGCGTTGGGAAGATTTGTCGCACCAGAACCACGTCCATTTCGCTTGTGCAATGAGCTCGGTTGCAATAGATACTAGAATTCCTCGAAATATGGTGGAAAGTAGATTGACGAGAGAATTTAGGGTTATGATCCGGTCCAAGGGCCAGTCTCTGAGGGGGTGGTCATCTTGGCTGAGGATAATCGTAATGGTCACGGCCAAGAGACATATGGCAAGGACGAGGGATAGAATCTCCCAAATCCATAGGTAAAGGACGGACCTGTGACTTTGCCTGTCTTGTTGGGCCTCGCGAACATCTTCATCCCGGAATCGTTGCTGAGGTGGGCTCGACCTTCGAGGGCTAAGCGAAGCGCAACGTGATAGGATTTCGGGAGATCCGACCCTGGCTGTAGTCCATTGCTCGAGTTCAGTTGATGTGGAGACTTGTTTGTTCAAGTCGCGATTTTCGCTTGCAGAAGTTGCCATCGCCACGTTTTCACCGGTGAGCGGCGCTGAAGGCTTGTAAAGTTGACAGTTGAATAAGCTGAATGAAACTTAGAACATGAATCAACTGCTTGAGAAGACTAACTTGAGTTTATATCAAGGTTGACCTGGCACTGGTCATCAATTTGCGTCACATGAATTGTGAATCAGACCGATGAAGCCAGGCTACTAGTACGACAAGAGTGAGGCTCAAAATCTACGTTCCTGCTGACCTGAGAGACGAGCATGGGTTCATCCCCAATAACTCATCCACATTGGCTTCAATGCAAATACCCGAGTGGCCCATGCTTAAGCCATTCGCTGAGTTCAAAAGTTGCCTCGTGAGGCTGTGCCATGGCCATCTGTCACACTTGGGCAACGGAGCACGGTCATGAGACATACCTACGCAATGGTACCACATGAGCTGTCTTGAATTTAAACTAGATAGAACTGTGAAACGTGCGAAGGTTGCTAGATACCGCACGGCAGACTCATACTTCGGATTGCTCACCGAACTCGAAGGCACGTAGGAGTAGCCGGGCAAAGCAGTCTTCCACAAACGTTTCTGCGAGGCGGCTGCAAAGTGATAGCTTATAGATTCCGTATGATGAACCGCAGGTATCCGTTCGAACGGCCTCGCCGAGGTACGGCTGCCTTGTGTCTTCCTCAAATCCATTCTTTGTTTCCGTGGTGAGATACGAATGATCCTCCAAATCCAGCCTCGACGCTGGCTTTGTAGATGACTGACAGCATGTCCTTCACCGAAGACTCTGCGGTAGTCGGGCCGGCGAAATGTGGTGCGTACGTCGCCATCTTGCCAAGCATGGCCATTCCCTTCTGCTTTTCTTCCTCTGTAGCTGGCAAGATGTTAGAGCTTAGACGCAATTGGGGCGAGAATAGATAGTAGTTCTTACCATTGTCATACAGCCCCGTGTCGATCACTCCGGGCGAAATGCTGAAGAATAGAACGCCTTGATGGGAGTGTTCCGCACTGAATTTAGCCACAGCTGTATTCAGAGCTGCTTTGCTGATTGAGTAAGGGGCTCCGACCTCGATGCCGGACTTGGATATGAAGTCCAAGTCAGCCATGCCGGATGAGACTGTGACCACTTTCTTCGCATGACCTCTCAGGACGAGTGGTAGTGCGAGATTGAAGAGATGAACATTGCCGACGACGTTCGTACGGAACGAGTCGACTAAGTCCTGTTCTAGCCGCTTCGGTTTCTCTCCCCTTTTATTTACACTGTCAGCCCCTTGGTGTGGATGTGTCCAACATCCTTTATCTGAGACTTCGTGGATTTAATAAACTTACAGAACGCTGATGCCATCATAAGATGACCAGGTTGAGATGAAAGCCGCGTTTGCAATGACACAGTCGATGCTTCCACCAGTGATTTCCGATGCAGCATTCACGGCTGTCTGAGATTGGGCCTTAGTGAATATCCTCAATCTCATGCTAGGTGCTTACCTTTATTGCATCGAAGTCATCAAGGTCAGCTTGTAGGACGTGAATGTTCTTTCGCTGCAGCTCGGCGTCCAACTTCTGCTTGGTAGCCTCGGCATTTCGGACAACCCCAATGACGATGTTGTTTGCGTCGGCGGATAACTGCCGAAGGAATTCAAACTGGGCCAAATCAGCATTTCATATGGCAATTTCGAATACAATGGACCTACTCCAAGCCCCCTCGAAGCTCCGGTTACCAAATATGAAGACATGAGGTACGTGTTGAAGACTGAAGTGTGTCCGTGCTCGCAGCTGTTTCCAGGTGAAAAGATTCAGCGTAAATCAAAAGCGACCAAATCGTCTCAGTCGAAGAAGTAGCATTGAGAGTGTCTGTATTAATAAACCTTGGAGTACCGTAATATATAGAGAATTTCCACTCGGCTTAGAGAGCTATGGAACGGGTTTGAGTTTTACCGTTTGGAACAACTGCGATTACTAAACTTCGTCCGCGATATTCGGCCGGACCGTTGCACTTCTTGAACACTGGCTTGATTATCAAGCATGGGAAATAGGGACTTTGGTCAGAAACACAACGCCTGGAATTCGTTTCAGTAATCGAACGGAGGCGGAGGATCGAACTTTAAGCTTCAACTAAGTCGACATGGTTTGCAAGGAAAGAGCATGGCTTCGAAAGGAATCGAAGCAAAACCTGATCTCAATAGTGAATCAGCATAACAAACACAGAAAATTGAGTGCCATAAATTGCACGTGGGAAACATTCCAATTGTTCGACTCTACTTTGCTAGCTTGCAACTACCACAGTAACTCTCATTTTCCACCATTGCCCAGCTTAAGCAGCCATTTTTCAACCATGATCTTGAATACCCTTTTTCTTCTTGCAGGAACTGTGGCTTCGCTTAGTACTTCTCCTACATTCCCTCATCATGAGAACCCCGAAGCTATCAGCTGCTCCACGTCAGCGAGCCAAGTGACACCCACTTGGCACCAGCAGCAGATTTTCGAGACGTTCATCCAGAGATTCTTCGTCCAAAAAGATGTAAAGGGGGCAATCTTAGACAACATGTCCGTAAACTACACCCAGCACAACCCCAACGCTCTCAGCGGACGCCAAAACGCCATTGATTATGTTGGCCCAATCTTCGATGCTGCCAACTTCACAATCTTGCGACACTCGTTTAGCAACAACACTGGATGGGTTCATACAAAAATGGAGATTCCAGGCTTGCCGTTGACTGTGGTGGTGGATATTTTCAGATTCCAAGGAAGCTGCATTGTTGAGCACTGGGATGTTGCAACGACGATGTCGCCTAATGCTACAAATCCTTTGGCGCTATTTTAAGTGTTGCTCACTCCGTCTCGGAGAACGAAGAGGTTGAGAAGAGGATGGTAAAGAATATCTGAGATGAACTATACTGTATAATAAGAATGAAGCTCTCGGAAAAGCATGTGCTTTGCTTCAAGATGCCATTTCTGGCATGATGCAGACGTACAGGCATCAAACGACTTCGGGTATAGACCATAATTGAAATCATACTTGAAGGAAGCATGAGAAAGGAACTTAAAAATGATATTTGGACTACTGAAATTATGACAAGCAAAACTACTCAACTGAACAAAGTACAACGCCTTCATCCACCGCATCACCAATCCTCCACTTTGTATGAAATATGCCAGAAACACCCACGATGATGTTGATCTCCATTTTCATGCTTTCGATCACCATGACACATTCACCCTTATTGACCTCGCCACCAACGGACTTGGCAATCGACAGCACCTTGCAAGGCATCGGGGCTTTGACTTCGCTTTGCTGGTCACTGCTGGAAAGCGCTTCCTTTCTCAGATTGGTATAGAACGAGAGCAAAGTATCTTTGCGGAACTCCTTCCACTCCCCAAGCTGCGGTAAATGGCAGAATACCCTGACAGTTTCATTGAGTGGTAGACTTTGGCGACATTCGCCAGCATTTGGAATGGCAAGGTATGCGCGAATCTGGTGACCATTCACCGACATACTCATGGACTTTGGTGATGACAAAGAGCTCGCCTTCGAGACTAGCGAATGCTCGCCAGATAATGGCTTCAGCTCGACGTTTTTGATGTTGAAAACAGGCCCCGACCATGCCTCTCCGGTCCGAATGGCTCGGCTTGTAGCAGTGTAAGTGGCAGTCAAATTCGATGCCGGTGGTGGTTCTTCCCCCTCTTTGGATGAAGAATCCTTCTCACCCAGGCTGTGGTGTGTCACAGGGTAGAGACAGATATCCCACTCGTTGTCGGCGTTGCTGGAGCTAGGTTTGGGAAGACAGGCCTCGCACCTGGTAATACCTCCAGAGGCGGATTTTGAGTCTCTAAGGGAGATGATCTCGCAGCTTTGATGGAACGGGTCAAACTTTTGGTTGTGGAACTGACGGCGGACTGTCCGGAAATGTCGACGACCACCACTTCCCTGGGCTTTGTCTTTCTGCAGATGTTGCAGAAAGATACTAGGAATAAGTGAAATATGGCTTGGCAAGGACGGTGTGTATGGACTTCGAAGCAAGTCGTCGATATTCTTTGGGATGAATGATGCCTTGTATCCAAAGTCCTGGAAGGCCGGGTGCAACAAACAGCTTTGAAGGAATAATTGGTTGGTCCTGACTCCGATGCACGGAGTGTTTGCCAGCTCTCTGGCAAGTATGTTGATCGCCGCAGATCTTGTCGGTGCCCAGACAACAATCTTGCAAATCATCGAGTCAAAGTAGATCGAGACTGATGTTCCACTTTGAATAGCTGTCTCATAACGGATGACTGAGCCCGGGCTTCTTCCTGGAGATGCAGGCTTCCATAACAAGATCTTGTCATGGCTGGGAAGGAAGTCTCGCTGGGGGTCCTCCGCACAAAGTCGACACTCAATTGCGTGCCCAGTCTGTGTAAGATTTGACAGCTGAGGGAGCTCTGAGAGACGACCTTTGGCAGCAACAAACAGTTGCAAAGCGACAAGGTCAACTCCGACGACTTCCTCCGTGATTGGATGCTCGACCTGCAGTCGTGTGTTGACTTCAAGAAAATAGAACTTTCTCGTCGATGTGTCGAAGACGAACTCCACGGTGCCAGCTCCTTCGTAGCCTATTAACTTGACGATTCGGACGGCTGTCTCGCTCATATCTTGTCTAGTGTCGTCATCGAGGAAAGGACATGGTGTTTCTTCGATCACCTTCTGATTGCGACGCTGTATCGAGCAATCTCGCTCAAAGAACGACACTACTTGACTGTACTGGTCTCCAACCACTTGGATCTCAATATGCTTGCTGTTCTCAATGAACTTCTCCAGAATGCAGTCTCCTGAACCAAATGAGCGTTGAGCTTCTGACTGCGCCCTGCTCAGTTCTGTCATCAGTTGCGATGGTTCGTGCACAACTCTCATACCCTTGCCTCCGCCACCTGCGGAAGCTTTCAGCATCACGGGGAAACCAATGTCGACAGCAGCTCTCTGCAGGTCTTCGGCCTCAAGACTGGTGCCAGTAAATCCTGGGATCAATGGAACGTCGGGTGCATTCTGGCGGAGATAGTCCTTGGAAGATCGCTTATCGCCCAGTGTGGACATGGCTTTGGCTGGAGGGCCGACGAAAATGAGTCCAGCGTGGCGTACACTGTCAGCAAAGTTTGCATTCTCGCTCAAGTAGCCATATCCGGGATGGATTGCGTCGGCGTGGATATCTTTTGCAGTTTTAACCAGGAGATCAATGTCGAGAAACGGATTTCTCTGGTTCTTCTCCATAGAACCAATACAAATGGACTCGTCCGCGTCCCGGACATGCCGTGAAACAGCATCTCTGCAAGGAAAGTCAACAAATTGAGCATTAAGTTGATCTCAATGTTCTCGGGTTGCAATTTGATGAAAACTTACTCTTGTGTATAAACCGCCACTGATGCTACATTTACTTTCTTGCAAGTTGCAATTATTCGACAGGCGATCTCGCCCCTATTCGCGATCAAAAGTTTCCGGATGCGAGGGTGTCCATCTTCGCCAAGCGGGATATCGGCCACAAAAAGCTCTTTGCTGTGAGGTCGTGCTCCCTCCATACCGTCAGTATGCTGAATAGCTGCCATTGTGACGGAGACGACGCAGGATTTTGGGAATAGGAAGCCTCGCTTAAGCCCGCTTCTCTAGACTTAAGGTAAGGTAGTACATGTAACAATGATTCTGGTCGATTAAACTATTCTAGGAGCTTCAAGGTCCATTTTTGATAGTGGGATTGACCAACATCATAGAGCTTTCGGATCTCGGGAACAGTGAACCGCACTCCGACTAATGTCTGTGACGCGGCATAGATGCCCTTGCCGGCGGGTATGCTCGGGAAAGCTGCAACAATAGCGCCGGGAAGCGGTCCGGACAACGGTACACTGTGTGGGCCCTGTCACCCGGCTCCTCGGAACTTCAACCTGGTTAAGATGGCAAAACGGCAGATCTCACCAAAGCAACGTCCTCTGGATTTTCAAGAGGACTTGATAGTGACAATCTGATAGGCGAAGCATTTCAGTCCATAGAAACATTCGTAAGCAGTTTCATGTCTAACTGTGTTGCATTGATCTAGCGTATGTAATCGCCGACTTAGAATGACGTTGTGAACGGAACATTTACCGCCATTGATTGATCCCACATTGGTGATTCAATGACAACTTGGTCAATTGAGTGATGTCTCTTTACTGAAATTCCAAGAATTTGATTTATGTCTATTGAGATTTAATTAAGCATGAAAACCAGGTTCGCTCGTTTGAGGGACACCCAGGATACGATAACTACTTTGCAGTATTTTCCAAAGTCTGAAGCAAAATGGAACTATAGTAAAAGAAGCTAATGCTACAACTTTGCCTGCCTCGCTGACTTGTTGAGCAGCGTGTCTCCCAAGTCTCGTATGAGATGCTTCTGATACTTTCCACTTCCAGTCTTGGGCAGACTGGTTCCAACATCAGGGTGACCGATCCAGAACACATGCTCAGGTGCCTTGTGCCGTCCCAATTTCTCAGTAACCCAAGCCTTGACTTCCGAATCAGTCAGCTTCAAAGTGCCATTCGCCGTCTGAAGAAAGCTCGCGACCACCTCGCCATATCTTTTGTCCTGGAGGCCAACGACACAAGCCTCTGAAATAGCGGGGTGGCTGAGCAATCGATCCTCGATCTCAGTCGGAGAGATGTTTTCACCACCTGCCAGATGTTTAGTTGAAGTCTTCGGAACCCAAATTTGAAACCTACCACGAATAATCAAGTCCTTGATGCGTCCTGTGATGTAAGCATAGCCATCGGTGTCGATCAAGCCCTCGTCGCCTGTGTGCATCCAAACCACTCCATTGTTGTCGACCTTCAT